CTAGCGAGCGTCGCGGCGCGCGAACTCTAATCTTGTAGAAATCCTCCACACTTCGAAGTTCTGCGGCAAAGGCATTGTCCAACAGTGCTAAAGAAAGAAATAGAAGAATTGCATCAAATAAGAAGGTGTCCACCTCGTAGAAGATAAAGGTTTTTCTGGGCCTCAGTTAGTGATTGGCCTCGAGGCTGGTATGGCCATACATACGGGTTTTCCCTTCGTTCCCAGCCTTTAGTGAACCTCAGGGTCACTTCCATGGCCGGCAGATCTCTTCCACCATCGGGATTCTTTAAAAGGACCAGCTTCACATCTCTGTAGCAAATAGTCTTAAAATCATCCTCCTTTGGGTCCCATTCTTCTGCGTATTTAAGCTGGCTCTCTTCATCACTGCCGAAGTAGTGATCGTTGATAGCTTCTTTGCTGAGTTTTTTATAGGCAAGGACCCTGGGGCGCGTCGCTGTGTATGCCTGAACGAGAATCATAAGGGCTAGTTGTATACGTTGGCGCTCGTCAGGGAACACCGATGTGTCGTGCACCCAATGATGGTGTAGGACGAGATAGACATCGTCGACGTCCATCACAGGTTTTTCCCTGATCGAGGTGTCGAGTTCGTACTTGATCGTTAGATAACCATTAATATACTAGCCCCCCATCCATAGAACGTCAGTAGTCAGTTGGCAGGCGGAAGTCTCATCAATCTTACATCGTTGATCTCTTCATTTGCTAGTTTGTCAAAATCGACTCCAGCGGATTTCCGGTATACTTGGAAGAGTATTCTCTTATAAGCATGGACTGCGCTTCTTTTCCGTATTCTTTTGTACATATCTAGCATCCATTCCAGGAAGGTCATGATGTCTTCCTTCGTGGATTGGAGTAGATGATCTTCAGCTTTGGTGCACAAATAGGCGCAGTATCTAAATTGTCAACTTGAAATACCACTCAACTTCTGAAGACTTCATCCTTACCTTGTCCATTTCAGTTTGACACCATGCATGTTGACTTTGGTCGTGGGGGCATGTCGCTTCTTGACGGCCTCATCTGTAGCAAGTCGTTGGCGTTTTGATCGGTAGTATTCTGGAGGGCGTTGAGTACGAACAGGTGCCTTAGTGACCGCCATTTTTTTAACCTTGAAAAACGTAGGTCCATGATAATAATCTGGCACAATCTGGTACTGAAGTTGACTTATATGCGCCGAGCTCCCATTAAAATTAATGAGCGCTACTGAGTGGAGTGCGCCCACCAGTCATGGTGGTGTGGGGTTCTAGGCGGCCAGCGCTTCGCAAGTTGGCCTCCAAAAGCGGCATCCCAACCTCCAAAAAAAGGCATCATGTCCGCCAGAACTCGAGACACATTTGCTGCGAACCTGCACTTTTGATGTAAAAGCAAAGGGGGCAGGCAGGCAATGGAAACGTTGGCGGCTCGACAACTCGACAAACCAGAACTCTTTTCAGGGCACCTAGTCCGCCTCCTATTGTCAAAGGCTCGCAAAAGCTCCTCGGGATGTTTTTTAATCTACTGCTCACGGAAATATCGAGACGTCTGCGAGCGAAACAAAGTTCTCGTCTCGTCTCACCAGATACCACCTGCCACGCTGGAGAGACGCCGCCCTGCTCCCTCCCCCAATGCGCCCGTTTCGGTCTCCGAGAGAACAAACCTGGTACCTGGCATCAGTTTTTGAGCCCAGTCTCTCTGTCATTACTAGTGCGCTTTGAGAATTCTCCCTCAAAACGAGTAGATTGGAGGACGAGGGAGAAGGCCTTCCTCCCCACCCACCCCCCTTCTGAGCGCAGAGAGACTCTTCTATAGTGGAAAGGAAAAGGCCCTTTTTTTTTCTCAAGAGTGACTCTCAATCCCTGTAGGTTATAACAAGTAGGGGTCTGTGGGCGTGGGCTTGGCGATGCACACTCTTGCAGGTTTTGCATCGATTGCTTTCCCGACAAGAAACTTGTCCCACCTACCAACGCCGACAAACCCCCCATCCGCTGTCCGTTCTGGAGAGGAATAGGAGTGAAGTCAACTAACTGCCTGAATTCTCGACGAGCTCGTAAATCTTCCTCTTCTGGCTGCGGATCCGGGCCTGTCTCGCCAGGCCAAGCGTTCAGCTGAGCCGCCCCCTTCACCAAGCTTTTGCTGCGGGCGGCCACCGGGGCGTGTCGAGACGCTTGCTTCGGATGTCGTCGTAAAAAAGAACAGTATAGAAGCACACAGAATTTCTGCCCCCCCCGGGGGGCGGAGGGGGAGGGCAGCTCTCCTCGGGGGAAGCATCCGGAAGGCGTCAATTCCACAAGGCGCAGCGTATTTTGCAGGCAAGTCAAGAACGGGGACCAGGTTCCGGCGCATCCTGTGATAGAGACGGCCCAGAATGACCCGAGCAGTTACATCTGCTTCGACTGGGCTACGACAGGACAAGAAGTGAAGCATGGGGGGAAAGGGCGCGGGGGTCGCGTCGGTGCGGTCTCTGGGCACTGTCTCGAGAAGAACGCACCGTTCCGGCTCGCCTGGTTACCCGACCCTTTTCAGCTTGAGAGATGCTCCGTTTATTTTAGGGAACCTGGAGCCCAACTAGTCAGCGGATGTGTCTGTCCCCCCCCCTCTCCCTTCCCCCCCTTCGATTTACACACGCCCTTTGGCGTGGCAGATCTCTGTGTGCCCATCGACGAGCGATGGCGGGCCCCCCGGCGTTTAGCGCGATAATCAGTCTGATGGGCGTTTCTCTTTGTCGAAGATGAAGATGCCTGAATTTGACGTGACCGGTTGGGTTCAGTTCCGAGTTGAATGAACCCCCTTGAGGGTTCGGCCTTTCGCTGGAGCGTGTTTTGATTTTCCTGACGCTGCCGATGTGGCTTCACGGACATCTACGGTAGCTATAGAAGGCCAATGAATATGCGAGCAAAAGAAAAAATAAAAAAGCAAAACTCGACTGGCTTGCTGGTCATCTTGAAGAGAATGGACAATGAATCTGAAACTGCTTGGGCCAGACAGCGGAGGACTAGCACTGGCGCCCTGCAGGAGGACAACTAATAGTTGTTGCCAGAATCCACAGATGAAGCGATAAGACAAGAAGTTGCTCGCGTGGGTTAAACGACCTGAAAAGTGCTGATCGTGGTTGAGAGATGTTGAGCACGGGTCTGTCATGATGAGTTTGCCTTGCCTGGCTCGGCTGGGGCGCACCCAACTGGAAGGGGACAGATCTATGACCAGATTTTATCCAAATGAAAACACTTTCTATCAGCAGTGCCAGCCACCGAAAGAGAGGTATTCTGGTGTTCCCACAAAACGCAGCGGACTCGCCACGTCACGCCACTCATCAGCGCGAGCAACACTGTCCTCAACCACGTCGTGGCAACATAATAACCAGTTAACGAGTTGGTGAGAGGCGGTGGCCAAGTTTGTACCGGAAATCAGCCTCCGGGGAGATGCGTGAAAGCCAATCGGTGTCAGTAGGAGGCTGTCCTGCACCGTCCGGAGGGGATCAGCCGTTGCGCCGGATGCTGTCCCAAGAGCGGGCTGGCGTAAACTCTAGTTACCGGCTTCTGCCATCTCCATGCTGATAAATGGATGGGATTGCTCGTGATTATCACTCGTTCTTTTGTTCAAGAAGTGTTGATGACGCAGCCGTGCATAATTGTCTGAGTTTATCACCTTGATCGTCATCAGCCACAACATCCCCTCCCCCCCGGGGGGGTTTGAGACAAGGTTGCGGGCTGACTTCACACAAGAAACCTAGTGCTCAAGGAATCAAAAATTGTTGCAGACCGCCAAGGCGGAGCAGCCAAGCTCATGTACACATCTGCATGCACATGGCAATCAATCCCCTTGCCCAAGCGTGGATGTGGATATCCTTCTTGTTGCTATACTTCGTACCCAAAGGAATAATGTGACAGCGCATTGGCACGAGCTTGGTATGGTACAAGGATTATACAGAATCAGAATGAGCACATATTCACCCAGTTAACTAGGGGAGTGTTTCCACGCAAATTACGGACACACCAATAATCAACGGTATCGAATACCAGCCAATGTCCCATCACACAGGGTATTGTTTTTTTTTTTTTTTTTTTTTTTTGACATTTCATCTCAACAGCCAAAGGGTGGATGAGACCAGCTGCAACTACTCCGTATCCGTACATTACTGTAATACTGAGAAAGAACCAGGCATGTATGAGGTCGAGATGATGGCAACAAGGTCAATACCCCGAAACTAGGTAACGAAACCGTTTCCATGGGGGTGGGCTCTGGACCAGTGGAGGGACGCCACCTGGCCGTTCAACCAGTCAGAGGCAGAGGACGGCGTTCCGTGTGTGTGTGTGTGTGTGTGTGTGTGGACGCAAAGTTGCCTTTAAGACTAGCTTTATCGGTCCTTGACAGCGGTCATCACTTTTCCAACCTGGGTAATTAGCAAAAGAGCAGTCGCCCACAGAACCACAGACAGTGAGTGGTGGATGGTCGCGATGGTTGGTGCTCACTTGTGTGTGGGCTCTGTGATGAGTGGTGAATGGCCGTTCAATACTCGGTAGTTATAGCGGAGGAGCTAGCCCCGGAGCTGAGGCTCCTTTGGTTGGAGTTTTTGTGAAAGGGGTCTGCAGGAATCTTCCAACTACCCCCTTGACTGCCGTGCGTTGTGAGCTCATGGAGGGGTAACTAATGGCTGGATAGGCAAAGTAATCTACCCCTTGGCGTCCGCCCATGTCATCGCGGTTGCGTCATGCACCTCCTCGGCGAACAGAGGCTCGTGGGAGAATAGAAATACCATTTTGGACTGATGGGAATTCCAAGATTTCGTTTGATCAACTACGTCATACTACTCCGGTGCCGTATGGACATTTTTGCGCGGTCAGCCCACAACTGCCATCATGTCTTCATAGCAACACCACCCATCTCACCAGGTTCCAGACACCACCCATCCCATCCCCCTTGAATGAATTGGATCTTGACATTAGCAAATGTTCGCGATATTACACCACTGTTCAAAAAGCGTCGTATCCAACAACACCTATCCCGCAATGGTCGGACGCAAGAGAATCCTCCTCAACGACGAGAATGGTCAAGTGCAAGGATCAGAGATGCAGTCCCGAAAGGTGAGCTGCCAAACCCATCTGAAAGCATATCCAGCCACCTCTTGCTAACCAATGACAAAACTCGCAGGCGACGCTGCACCTGGAGAACCAAGAGCGCGCCTACGTGGCCGCTTCGCGCCGCGCCGACCGCAGCCTCGAGGCGCGCTACCAGTCCGCCGTCATGGCGAGCCGCGTGCACCAGAAGCGCACCGGAAAGGCCCTCCGCGTCACGTACCAGATCGTGCACGACGAGGACATGTACGAGGAAGATGACCCAGTGCTGTCCGGCAGCTGGAACCAGCCGCAGGAGCAGCGACACCGGGGGTCGCCGCACGCCGCGTACCGCAGCCGGGCCGCGTCGCAGACGGACGCGTTCATCTCGGCGCTGATCGCGCGCAAGGCGGGCATGCCGAACTACTTTGGGCTCGGCCATGCGCTCCCCGCGTCGACGACCTCCGGCAACGGGCAACGGGCGGAGCAGCAACAGCCGCCGCCGCCGCCGCCGCCAATCGGTCACGGCATTCCGAGCGACGGCATCGATTGCCTTGCCGATTGTTCTCCCGTCAATCCTTCTGCGGCAAGCTTGGGAGGAGGGGGGGAGTTCAGCTTTGACGCCTGCTTTGCGGAGTTGGCCGCCTTTCCTGGCGTCGCGCCTCATGCACCGACGTCATCCGGCGGCTCCTCTTCGCCGAGTGACGACAACCCAGCCTACGAGCCCAACTACATACTCGGGACCGGCTCGGAAGAGCAAAGCTTCAGCCCCGGCGCCGCCAATCTATGGCTAGAGGACTTCGTGGTAGACGGGGATAACGACGGCGGCTTGCACCGCACGCCGTATGGACTGTCGTTGGGATAGATGGGACTGGACTTGTCGTGTGGCGTAGACGCTGTGTCGTTTGTTCCTTCTTATTATTATTATTCTTCTTCTCTCTTACTTGGCGTCATGTTGGTCAATTTAATAGCTAGTGGCAATCTCTTTCAACCGGCCGCACGTCACAATCGAGCCGGCACTACGTGCACCTATATGGAAATCAGATTCAAACTACTGCAGCTATGCATACAAGCCGGTATTTAACTGACGCCGGAGGTTTTGCGGCCGTAAGACGAAGATTAAAACTCCCCGAGTGCAGCACGGCCTGCTGAGCCGAGATGCAGACGATGTCGATTCTGGTCCAAAACAGTAGAGGCATCGTCATAGCAAAGGATTGACTTGGCGCAATTGCAAACCAGACACGCGCAGGCTTTTTACGAGAAGCTTGGAACTGCACTCCGGAGAAGCCGTCGGCTGCATAATTGTCAAAGCTGTCATTTTAAATAATCAGAAGCTAGTCAAAGTGTGGTATCCCGGGCTCCGAGTAAATGCAAAATCATCCGACATTTCCTTTCCTTCCAGCCACATGAATTCCCATTAAATACATGGTTCCCATTTGCAAAGGCACCAATGTCAGGCTGGTCACAGCAAAATCGAACACCGTAAACATCTCCATCTGGCCCTCTCTCCCCACCGCCTCCTCATGATCGCTTGCGACTCAGGGCCCTGACAAACGCCGCCTTGTCCTCCACCGTGAGCCCCACGCGCTTGACCCTGCCCAGACGTGCCAGCGCCTCCGCAATCGTGTCGAGCACGCGCTGCTCCTCGGCGGTCACCTCGCCGGATGTGCCTCCGCGGGCGCGCAGCTCGCCGCTCACGGCGGGGGACACGCCGTTGGTGCTCGCGGCGGCCGTGTTGAAGCGGCCCTCGGCGATGCGGACGCGGATGCACGTCGTCGGGCGGGAGAGCAGGTTCCAGAGGAATGCGACCCAGCGGCCGGGCACTGGGGTGGTGACGTCCGCGGGGGTGTAGCGCAGGCTGACCGGGAAGACGAGCACGTCCGGCGGGCAGGCGAGCAGGCTGGGGCTGAGGGGAAGGATGGCCTTGCCGTTGGTGGTCGTGCACTCGGGGAAGAGGGCGATCGGGCGGTCGGGGTACTCTCGGAGCAGGTCGGCGACGGAGACGAGGTCTTCGGCGGGACCGGGGGCGGTGGTGGGCGGGGGCGCGAGGGTGGCGAGGACGGCGGCGAGCAGGCCGACGCGGCGGACGCGGCGCGTGCCCGGGTAGGAGAGGGTGAAGACGGGGTCGAAGACGGCGGCGAGGTAGACGACGTCGACGGGGCTGGTGCAGTTGGCGGCGATGACGGTGCCGCCGTGGGGGAAGCGCCGCCGGGGCTGGTCGGCAAGCGTGCCGCGCTTGACGCCGTCGAGCTGCAGGTCCACCCACCAGATACCTGGCACGCCGAGGAGGCACCACAGGGCGACCTTGCGCGCGACGACGGGCAGCAGCGGCAGGTGGTGGACGACGGCGAAGTAGCCGAGGGCGAGGAAGACGAAGAAGGGCAGGCGCAGCGCCAAGATGAGGGCGTGGTAGGCGGCGGTGACGGGGGAGAGGCTGGTGGTGACGGGGAGGAAGGGCGCGATGCCGGTGGCTGCGAGAGCGTTGGGTTAGTAGAGGGACGGACGGGGAGGCGAGGGGGGTGATGCATACCTCGGTCGCGATATTGGCTGAATTTCTCCATGATTGGGGAGGCCTGGCGGGAGAAGATGTAGGTTGCTGGTGGCAAGGGACAAGGTCGTTGGCTGTCTCTCCCCCCCCCCGTTTGACGTTGCGTGTTCGATTTCGGAGGTGGTGGGGCCGCGATTTTAAGCTTTCCAGAAGAGCTTAGGCTTCAGTGATGTCAGCGATAGAAAAAGCATGTGATTGATAACTTGACACCATCATAAAGGAGGATAAAAGACCCATGGTGTTATCGGAATGGATGATAATGAGCGCAATGGGAGCTTGCTGGCTAGAAATGGCATCATTCTTCTTGGCCTGCCTTATCCCTGCGCAAGGACGGAAGTGTCGGGGCCGTTTGCACCGATAAGCTGTCTAGATACGGAGCACGTGTTAGTCGAGATATTAGCATCGCCATGCTTCGAAAGCTGAAAGGAACCGTTTATTTCCCTTATCGAATTGGATTGACAGCATTGGGAGCATAGCTCCACCAGTGTGCTGTGGTCGCTACAGTAAAGATGCATACCCTCGATCAGCGTCTCGCGCCGTATATTCGATGTCCAAGATTTGTAATTCTGAGCCGACAAGAAACGAGAAAGATGGGGAAAAAATGTGACATTTTCCCCAAAACGAAAAATTGTTGTTACAAATGCGCATTCGACGGAACTGGCCTTGGCCACCAAGATGACCAAAGGATGACAAACAAGGCTTCCAGTCGGTGGTGGATCTCGCGTCTTCGGCCTTGAGCAAAGCGCATATAAAGCTAACTGTAACCAAGAGTCAAGAAGACCAAGCATGGTGAAAGTAAACAAGAATAAAAATTACTTGACATATCATCACAATTCACAATGGATCACGAAAAGATTCTCGAGGCAGCCTTTGCCGACCCCCACAACACGCCCATTGTGATCCCCCCCGCCGACGTTAACAAGATTATCAAGACGAGCTACACGGTGGACGAGCCGTTTACGTATACACGCACCCAGTTGTGGGACATGGAGCGACGCAAGGCGCACGATCCCGAGACGTTCCTCGGCGGCGTCGCGCGCCCCGGCAGCGTCCAAGTCTTCGACGTCCAGCGCGACGGCGACGTGGAGACGTTTGTGCGCGTGAGCGACCAGCGACGCTGGGCCGCGCCGACCGAGTACTCCACGGTGATTGAGCAGGTGCGACTGGACCACGCGACGCAGCGGGCCTTCTTCATCGGCGTCGATGCGGTCGACGCTCCCGACGGCCGGCGCATCGTTCGGGGCACGGAGCAGCCGCGGTTCCACGTGGAGCACTCGTGCGCGGGACCCGAGACGGCGCCGCTCAACATCTGGCGGATGGTGCTGCTGGACGGCGACGAGGACGGCGCGGTGCGGGCGGCGCTTCAGGGCATGGCGGAGAGCCCGTACCTGCGGGCGTTCAACGAGGTGTACATCAGAGAGGTTCTGGGGCGAAAGCTGGTGCGGAAGGAGGCGGAGGGGGCGGGTGGCAAAGACGCAGAGTAGAAGGATGGTGGTAGTAGCGGAGGGAACATTGATCAATGTCTTGGGTACTGATGGGCTATTTCAAACTGAATAGTCCTCTTGTTCTACCAACATAATGAACCTCTGAAACATAAAATTCTACAGCTCCTTGAGATGTTTCGGAAAGTGCCAGCTACCAGTCCGCTGCACTCCCATTCCGACAGATCCATAGCAATATCCAACGACTGTTGTACAGTATTCATCCTAGAATCATTTCTCTCAGCTCCACTGCGGCCATGAGGTGATTCCCTCATCCATATCAAACAACTCGGATCCAATCAGATCTGGGTAAAACCCGGCATTGGACGGCAAAGGCGAGGCATCCAAAACCGGGATGGTAGAATACATAGTAGCATCCGCGGTAGCCTCGTCCGGCACACCATTCGGGCGCAACTTTTGAAATTGTGACGAAACAACATCGCTGAGCAGACGCGCGACATGACACGACAGACCAATCGAGCGCAGCCAAGTCACAAGTCTCATCACCAGCCGATCTAGCCCATCGACGTCCACATTCGCAATGCGCAGCTGGCTCTCGTACATTTGGACCAGTCGGCAAAGCGTGAGTGCCGAAAAGGTGATGATGTGATAGATGTGGTCTGTCAAGTGGCGAGTTCGATCGTCCGTCGTGTCCATGGCGAGATTCATGATCGTGCCTGCAAGGTCAACCATTTCCAGGATGAGCGACGCATCCGTCAAGGACTGTGGTGACCGCGCAGAGTGGTAGTACGCGAGGAGATGCGCAAAGTGGAATCCCATCTGGAGCAAGTGCGAGCGCGGCTCGTCAAACAAGCCCGCCCACTCCGTCTTCCAGTTCCGCAGCGCAACCTTGCAGTCACGCACGTCGACCTCGCCGCTTTGCGGGCAGCACTTTGTGTACATCACCCAGTAGAGCTTGACCTCCGCGACCATTCTCGCTTCGTAGTTTTGGAGGCTCCCGGTCTCGACGAGCAGAGAGCACCGGTCCACGTGCTCCTGCCGCAGCATCGTCTGCCGGCGCGTGCCGACGCAGTACTGCAGGTGGGCGACGCAGAGGTGGTTCCAGAGGCACTGGGCATCAACGTCACTCTGCTCAGCATTGCCCCCCTGCCTGAGCTTCGACTGGCCTGGGAAGCAGGCGCTGGCGAACCCTTGCTGGAGCGCGTAGCCGGTGAGCAGCCAGCCGTCGATGCTCAGCGGCTGCTGGCCGACGGTGGTGGACCACAGACTCAATATCAACAGGGCCTGGAAGTGCTCGACGGTTTGCGGAACGACGAGCAGCGCCTTCGCGGCCAGGCTCTTTGCTTCGTGGAACAGGCGCGGGGCGAGCTCATCAGCAAGTTCTTGCGTCGTGTGGCGCACTGCGATCAACAGAACGCTGCACAGCAGCAGCGGCGACCTTCTCACCTTGGAGAGAAGACGGTCAAGCGACGTGTCCTTGGAAAACCGCACCCAGCGGCCATAGTGGATGCGAAACCTATCGTTCGTGAGCTGATGAAAGTCGTTCGAGGCCGCGGAAGTTACACCAACAGTTTCAGCAAGGAGTGAGAGGTGGACGCCGTGACCAGCCCAGCTGAGATCACATCAGATGCGTTCCCAGGAAGCGAGCCAAATTGCCCTGGAGGCGAAAGACCAGCATCGGTTGCGGCTTCACGGATCAAGATGACTGGCGCGGGGTTTCGCTCGACTGGCGCTCCTTGGTCGGATCTGGCGCGGATCACCGTCGTTGCCGTCCCTGGCTCGTTGGACTGCGCATCCAGACGATCGATCAAAGCTGCCACTGTACGCTCAAGCTTACTGATTCTACTCCCCCGAGTCAACTTGTGTTGTCAAAGCCAGAGCCTGGGCTATTGCATACCTCGAATCCGGACATGCCCGGTTAGCGCGATGATGCTTATCCCGGAAGCCGCTTCTCTGCTGCACAGGCGAGGACTGGGAAGAATCGGAATCGAAAGAGTCTTCTAGCGAGCATGGTAGAGAGAGTGTGTGGCAGCGGAGGCAGGCATTCCTGATGCCATCTCCAGCGTAGCAGCGGGTTTTGCGCCGTCGACATAGATCACACGCTTTCGAAGCTCGTCCCAAGCTCACCGGCGGCATGGCATCGGAAAGTTAGCAGAGTATGAACATTTCAACCGAAATGGACGTTGACACAGATGAAGCAGTCAGCTTGTGGTGGTGCCTTATCTGCTTCTACAGCGAGAGGACGGACCCCCCACAAGAATGGCGCAATGGTTGATCATGTCACGAGCCAATTATTAGTTGCAGCGATTGGAAACATTAACTAGTGATTACGCCATGAACAGCCCGTCTTCCAATGCGCAGGTAAACGTGTGCCTACGTTGTATAAAATCATTCAAAGAATCCAATCGAGAGAGTTTCAACCCGCCAGCTCGGCCAACTGCCATCTGTAGTGAAAGGCCAGGCCACTAAAAGGCTTTGATCTTTGGAGTCTGGCAGGCCTTATTGCAGCTTAATCGTGATCCATTTGACCAATCAGAGGGCCACTATGACATACAACCCTAACCCTGAATATCTTCAGCTGTCCCAAGTCAAATACAAGTACCAATAAATCTACACGCCCACTTCTCCTTCTCGATACTCGGAATTTAGTTTTGTTTCGACTCCGGAGTCCCCACCGTCAAATAATCGGTACAGCAACTTCCAGACCAAGATGACGGCGGTGGCGGCAATGGCGCAAGCAGCGGCGACAAGTAACCCATGTTTGTAGCGAGGCGCATCTGCACATACGTTAGCTCTATGCAGATAAATGTCTACTGAGCTCATCATACCTTGAGATCGAAATAATTGATTTCCGGGGAAGTTCGCAAGCTGGATGCTCATCACGTACGCAGCCAACGCCACTGGCCGCTTGTAGTCTTCCATTTTGCTGGTCAGCCAAGCTGCGCTGATGGCTTGCGCACTGCCCATTCCCATCTGGGTCCAAACGACGCCCCCTTTGATACCTGTTAGACAAAGAAGACGTTTCAAACAGCAGCTTACTTCTGGAACGTACCATAAAGCACCCATTTTGCAACGCTGGTAGGTGCCAATGCCAACCACAACAGGCCGACAGCGCCCCAGAGGTATCCCGCAGCAATGTGCAGTCCGCGCTCTTGAAGTCGGTCACTGCTGTAAGCGAGCGTGACGGACCAAACTAGGGCACATATACTGCCCACGGAATTCAGGCCGTTCGCCTGGAGAGAAGTAAATCCGAGGGATTTGATGATGGAGGGTGCGTACGTGTTCATCGGCGAGATCATCACCATGGAGAGCAGTGCTGCGACGAGGTGGCCATACAATCTCCAGTCGCTGACAGTTTCCAGAATGTGCGAGGGCAAGACTGGCCTTCCATGTCTCAGTGCCTTGGTCGGGTCGTTGCGCAGCACGCGTGTCACGAGGATCGATGCCTCGCGTGGTGTGAAGACGGACCAGGACTTGCCAAAAAACGACTTGGGGTTGGCCGCGTTATGAGGCAAGTATAAATAGGCGACAACTCCCAAGAAGCAAGTAAGGACACCCTCTGCGTTCCTGTTAGACCTTTTAAGGTTGAATGAGATATGCAGATTCACGCACCGACAAGGAAAAGCCATTGCCATCCCGCAAGTCCACCTCGTCCACCAAGCGACAGCAGGCCGATGGACAGCGGCCCGCCCAACGCGCCAGCGAAGCCATTCGCGGCCCAAAAGATCGAGTACCGAAACGCGAGCTCCTGGTTCGTGTAGAACTTGGAAATGTACAGCGCAAACCCCGGGATGTAGCCGCCCTCGAGCGCGCCGATCAGGAACCGACACGCGTACAGCCCCGCGGCGTTCCTCAGAAAGACCTGCGTCCACGTCACCACGCCCCAGAGAAGCATGGTGACGGGCAGGAAGCGCTCGGGGCCGATGCGCTTGCTGATCATGTTGAACGGCAGCTCCGTGAGGACGAAGCCGACGGTGAAGAGCGTCTGGGCCAGGTTGACCTGCGCGTTGCCGACGTGGAGGTCCTGGCGCAGGCTATCGGTGAGGGCGTTGCCGATGTTGCTGCGGTCGAATTGCAGGAAGCAGAAGCAGAGGACGATGGGGGGGAGGATGAGCAAGTCCACCTTGCGCAGGGCGCGCTGGGCGTCTTGGGGGTCGAACTGGAGACGGGCGTCGTAGCCGGGAATGTGAACGGCCTCGTCTGGGACAGTCGCTTCGTTGTGCTCGTCGGGAACGGAGCGGGCGAAGGAGCCTTTCTCGGATATGGCAGTCGTGTCTTTTCGAGTACCGGCCATCTTGAGGATGTGGTGACACTCAAGAGTACACCAGTGAGCTAGAGTGATGAAGAGCTCGAGGACGCTCCAATGCCAGGTGGTGCCTCGCAACGGGTGACAATCCCATTTTATACATGTGCATTTTATTCATGAAGCGTCAAGCACCAAAGGATAGAAAGTGAGTGTTACGCCTCCAGCGAAATTGAAGATAACATGAACGCCCAAATGGCGTGCTTATCAGCTTTGCCCGCGATGGCAGCCACTCAAGGTGGAACTCCGGCGCCCTCGACCGTGATGCCGTCGGTATGCCGACGGCTCCCCGACGGGATGCCAACGGCCGGTATCCGTACCAGCAGGATCAAGTACTTGTTATATATCAGCTGCCCATCTTCGCAATATCGCCAACTTATTGCTCAACTGTCTGCTCGGGGTTTCTGTGCTGTTTTTCTTTTTTTTTTTTTCAGCCCTTCTCATTGCAGTCGCGGGCATGGAACAGAACACACTCAAGCGACGAGGCGTAGGCCTCACCGGAAAGGATGCACGGTCTGCCGGCGGCTTCACTCTCTTCTGCCCTCTCACCAGCGACACCGCTCACCTGATTGCCATTGACGGCTCCGAGGCGCATACCTGGAAGCTCCCCGGCCGAGTCGGGCGGCACGCCCGCATCCTGCCCAACGGAAACCTCGCCGTCAACACGCTCCGGCCGCCCCCCGCGGACAAGACCACCGCCGACGGAGGCCCGTTCCCCTTCCCCTTCTTCAACAAGTACGGCGGCGGCGTCATGTCCGAGCTGGCCCCGGACGGCGAGGTCGTGCGCCAGTTCACGGATCCCCTGGCGCACCACGACCAGTACCACTACGGCGACGGCCGGATCCTGTACACCGCGCTGGAGGCGCTGTCGCCGGAGGAGTCGGCCAAGGTGGTCGGGGGCGTGCCCGGCAGCGAGGTTGACGGCATCACGTACGCGGACACCATCAAGGAGGTCGATCCGGGGGGGAACGTGACGTGGGAGTGGAAAGTCTCGGAGCGGCTGCCGCGCGCCGAGTACCCCCTGCAGGCGCACTACACGCGCGAGCACTATCCGCTCGTCAACTCGGTGCTGCCGCTGCGCGACGGCAACATCCTGGCGTCGCTGCGCTCCGTCTCCGCCGTCATCATCATCGAGCGGTCCACCGGCGATATCGCGTGGCGTGTTGGCTCCGAGATCCTCGCGCAGCAGCACAACGCGACGGAGCTCGACAACGGCAACATCCTCGTCTTCGACAACGGCGCGTTCCGCAGCGGCGAGTCCGTCATGTACTCGCGGGTGATTGAGATTGACCGCGCGAGTAGGGCGATCGTGTGGGAGTACCGCGACCGCTCGCAGATGCACAACTTCTTCACGCCGTTCATGGGCAGCGCGCAGCGGCTGGCGAACGGGAACACGCTGGTGTGCGAGAGCGCGTTCGGGCGCATGTTTGAGGTGACGAGGGAGGGGGAGGTTTGCTGGGAGTATGTCAACCCGCACTTTGCGCCGTACGCCGATGAGGTGACGGCGAGCATCTTCCCGGGAGAGTCGAATGCTGTCTTTAGAGCGTATCGATACTCGATCGAGGAGATCCCTTGGCTGGAGAAGAAGGAGCAATTAGAGTGATGGACGGGTCAAGTCACTAGGATTCATTTGACGAGCTAGAGGTGGTACTTCTTGCCAACTATCCCACCCGGCTAGTTTCTTAGAGTTCGATCCGGCTTCAACCCGGCCTGATTGTCATCTCGCCTCGGCCGGTCTCAATTTGCCCTCGGTTTGACACTACCGCGAGCATATAGTCTAATTTACTGGCAAAATTTCCTCATTTATTTTTGCGTCCTCGCAGCTGCTTGGCGTGTGGAACATACACAATATAAACAAGTAGCTTTCACACCACCGACCGGTACAGTGATGCACACATTATGACTCCATGTCACGCACCTGTACATGTATACTGGACAGTAAGGATACTTGGTCTCGTTGTATACTAATATTACTCAATTCTTTTGGTCGCTATAGCCGAGTGGCGGACCTAACGCCGTCGGCCGCCGTCTTCCAACATCAATGAACCGGCTGTACAGGTATGAATGTTGAGTTTTGTGGCTTTCATGACTATCTGTGGCTAAAAGTTTAACCCGATCCCTAAGAAGGGCTATAAATGTCACGGATTCCCAGAAAATGTGCCCGGAAAACGCACAGGAGTAAAAATCTTCACCATGGCTCAGTGGGGGGATCTACCGTACGAGATCCAGGAGCTGATTCTTGATCACCTCTTCCACCAAACCAGTCCAATAAGTAGCAACAAAGGAGGCCCAGTTGGCAGGCCTCTGAATAGAAGGACGCCGGCCTGTATCGGATACCTGACGACTTGCAAAACATGGCGGCGAATCCTTGAGCCGCGCATATACCGACACCTGTTCCTCACGTCGTCCTCCCTCTCAGTTTTGAAGCGACTCAGCCTCCAGCACCAAAATCTCGTCCAGTATGTCTGGCTAGCTATCGAGATGCAGGAACACGACTGCAGCGACTGTATCCGCCCGGATCCGAAGGACATTGGCAGCTATACAAGACGTCGAGTTGACCGGGCTGTGGCCGTTCATGCATTGTGTGAACTCTTCCACGTCATGAGTGCATGGAGAAGAAAAGGGTCTGCTGGTGTCGACGGCCTAACACTAGAGATCAGCGTCTTCTGCAAGAGCGACATGGACCATGCTTTCTGGAACCATCTACACTGCGACTCGTCCCCTTTCACCCCTCCTGGAGAGCTGGAAATCGACCGTCCTAGACACCACGACAGCATCCACGGCTGGCGAAATGGACAACTCACACGTCCCCATGGAGTGCTTTCAATCATTGACGTTGCGAGAGCTATGGAACGTGAAGTCGGCTGTCTTGAACTACTACGGCCAGTTCCAGCTGTCACTACGTTCGTCCTCAGGCGCCAAACACGGCGAGGCTTACCATTGAACACGCTCCAGGCCATCGTCGAGAAGCTACCCAACCTGACGTCGATGGTATATGAGCCTTGGAGGCCTTACAAGTCCTGGCCCGAGACTGGGCCCTATTCACACGATTCATGCAAGTCAGATCATACATGTTCTTGATGTGGCCACGCTAATACTGTAGGCAGTCTACCAGTCGGGAATTCTAAGCCTTCCGAGTACAGCCAAAAACCTTGTTCTTTTTGAGGACTTCAACGAGGATTACAGCCGGATTATTACGACCGATCCGGAGACAGCCGACTGGTCGTACCGCCCGGGACTGCATCGGACGCCGTCCCCATTAGTCGCCGATGTTTTAGTCTCACTGGTCCAGATCGAGAAGCTTGCCGCATCGTATCTGGTCGACGCGTACGACTTTTTCCTCTGCGCCGGCCATCGCACGTCGTTTTGGTGGAGGCTATCGTCCCTCTACCTGACCTCGCCACATCTGGTGCCGGAGACGGACCGTCGCTGCATCGACTTCATCCTAACGCTTGCAGGGTGCGTCGCGGAACGCATGCCCGTGCTGGACACGATGGTGATCTGGTACGGGGCGAAGGGGGTCGCGAGCGAGTTCCGCTACGAGGTGACGGCGAAGGGGAGACATGCTTCCGTGCGGTGGCGTGGGACGTTTGACCATCCGCTCGCGACGGACACGCTGAAGGCATGGCAAAGGGTCGCGCGGTTGCGCGGCGCGGAGTTGACGGAGAAGGAGAGCGTATTGCTGAAGGCGGGCGAGGTTTATTCACATGGTGCGGCGATCGCGGAGCTGGGGCTCGGAGGGCATGTAATCCATCCGGTATCGTTGGAGCAGATATGCGGTGAAACCAGTCGTTATTGGTTCAAGTAGAAGCGGGAGAAATCAGAGAAGCAGGATAAAATGTGAAGAACGATCAAGATAGAAACACATATTCGTGGAATGGGTGACTGCGCGGGCTACAGCATGTGGTTGGCCCTGTAATAAGGTACAAACAACTGGAAGCCTCTCAACCTGCCTAGGATAGAGCGGAGAAAATCTACTAGCGTCACGCTAATACCGCGCTAGTCAAGTAGCCACCCCCAACACCTCAAGATCCAGACAACCAGAGCGCCCGCGTGCCAAGTCGGTCCCGCTATTATGATACCTGGGTACATGCGTCACGCAGGCGGATGACAACATCGCCTCCGCCTAACTACCACCTGCACATACTAACTACGTCCTCGTACTCCGACTACCGACTTCGCCCATCTCCTCATCCTCTCCGCCGACCCTCAACAATCCATCCCAGCCTGATACCAACCCGAAATCAACCAGACATCCATCCCCCTTCTTCCTCTTATGGCCTCAAGTCTTGCACTCTATACATAGAGCCGTCTCGGCCTTGACCATACAACACCATGCCCTCAACCTGCCCCTCTGCCGGCACGGTGACGGCGGCCTGGCTCTGGTTCTTCCTGGCCGTCGCCCCGATCTCCGGCCACGCCCATCTCAACGCCCAGCCCGACGCCGCCGACATTCTCCTTCCTCCCGGGCCTATCCTGCCCGGCACCCACGAGGCTCCGCAACCCGCTGAGCACCTTTTCAGCCTCCGACACATCTTCCACCATGGCACCAACGTGCATCCGGCCCTGCACCGCAAGCGCGACGTCTCCCACGACGACACCAACGTCTTCCTCGCCGCCGAGGACGGCTTCGACCGACACACGCTGCCCAAGCTCAAGGGCCGTAGCCGCGTCGACACTATAGAGCGCCTCCGCGACCGCCGACCGTCCGTCGTCGACCCGCTCGTCACCCAGTCACGCCGGCAGGGCATCATGGCCGTCATGGACGCCTCGGCCTGGACCGTCGACCAGGTTCTGTCCCCGGATGTCACCGACAAGGAGACGGTCCTCACCCTGGCGTATATGACCGCCGACGCCTACGTCGAGGACGAGTCTCAGCCCGACTGGGAGGAGGTTGGGGAGCCGTACAACAAAACGCTCGACTTTGGCTGGCAGAGCGACGGCCTCCGCGGCCACATTTTTGCCGACGAGAACAACTCGACCGTCGTAATCGGCCTCAAGGGCACTACCGCCGCCGTGTTTGACGGTGACGGCACCACCTCCAACGATAAGACCAACGACAACCTATACTTTAGCTGCTGCTGTGCCCAGCAGGGCCAGTGGACCTGGCACCAGGTCTGCGATTGCGCCTCGGGCACTTACCAGTGCAACAACACCTGCGTCACCCAGGCGCTCTGGGAGGAGAACCGGTACTACACCGCCGTCAAGGAGCTGTATCACAACGTCACTGAAATCTACCCCGACGCCCAGGTCTGGCTCACCGGTCACTCCCTCGGCGGCGGCATGACGTCGCTGCTCGGCCTGACCTACGGCTTGCCCGCCGTCACCTTTGAGGCCGTTCCCGAGGCCCTCGCCGCCTCCCGCCTCGGCCTGCCCATGCCGCCGGGCCTGCACGCCAAGACGCCGCAGATGCGCGAGTACACGGGCACGTATCACTTTGGCCACACGGCCGACCCCGTCTACATCGGCAGCTGCAACGGCGCGACGGCATCGTGCTCGTTTGCGGGCTACGCGCTCGAGACGCAGTGCCACACGGGCTACGAGTGCGTCTACGATGTCGTCGCCGATAAGGGCTGGCGCGTCGGCATCGGCACGCACAAGATCCGAAACGTCATCAGCGACGTCCTGCTCAAGTACGACGACGTGCCCGAGTGCGCCAAGACGCCCGAGTGCCGCGACTGCGCCCAGTGGAAGATGTACGAGAGCAACGGCACCGAGACGACGACGACGCCGGTGACCTCGACGTCGACTCGCACCAGGACGCGGACGTCGACGTGCAAGACGCCCGGCTGGTGGGGATGCCTGGACGAGACGACGACCACGGACGGCCCGACGTCGCCGCCAACGACGACGACGACGACGACGACGACGTCGACGTGCAAGACGCCAGGATGGTTCGGCTGCAATGATAAGACGGCCACGACGGAACCGACAACTACGAGCTGCGAGTCCCCGGGTAGATTCTGGGGCTGCAACGATCCTACCGAGACGACGTCCATGGCAACGAGCACGTCGACAGTGACCATTACCCCTCCTCCTGTTACCTCTACGCCTACTCCCACGTCGACCGTGACGTCCACCTCTGCCGCCCCGACAAGTACGCCAGCGCCAGGCAAGGGCAAGTGTGTGCGTCGCAGCTGGCTGGGCATTTGCAAAGAGTGGGGGAATGACGAGCCGGCCAACAGTGACGAGGTGATTGAGCTGTAATCGTCGCGGCAGGCTTTACAATACATATACAGATACAACAGATGCGTGCGTGCTAGCATTTCGCCATGCTATACTAGACCATTTTGGGAACTTTTGAGCTGCTTTTTTTGTTTTAGGTTTGTTGGATAGACGAGACAGCGTGCGAGCATGACTGCAGATTGCGCTGATGGCGTTGGGATACTTGACATTTTGATTGGCATGACATAGCGCGCGTTTTACATGTATTGCTCTCACTCACATTACCCCTCTACATTTCGAGAGTGACCAGATAGAATGTCGTTCAATATACATTTACTCGATTCACGTAGCGTTCATGGACAGTGAGAGGTAAGCGAGAGCTTTCATCATCTAATGTGAAGGATATACTGAAAAGAAGAGAAGAAGAAATTCTAACCACGCCCACTCAGCACTCTAGACGCACTCGCCCAGCTTGGACTGGGTGCAGAAGAGGGGAGCGATGGTCTCGCCGACGATGCCGCGCGCCAGCATGCGCTCCCGCATCTCCGACAGCCGCGGGCGCGCCTCGAACACTGACCGCATCTTGCCCTCGGCATCCTTGCGGCCGGACCACCAGACCTCGCCGCCGGCCGCGGCGCGCGGCCACGCAATCTGGTCAAACGTGGAGCCGTCCACCGTCTCGGACCACAGCGCCACCTCGCCGCCGAGCACGCGCTCCGCCGCCTTGTCGTCGAGCCCCTCGAGCGGGTCGTAGTTGTACACGACGCGCCAGTTCTTGTACGGGTCGCACCAGGAGTCGAAGGTGGAGCTGGGCTTGATGGCCGCGTCGGCGACGTCGATCCAGGTGCCCCGGCCGCAGTCGAGGTAGTAGGCGGTGTAGGTGGTGTCGACGACGCGGTAGCCGGCGCGGGTGAGGTTGCGCACGCTCTCGCGGCCGAGCCACGCTTGCACGATGGTGTCGTTGGTCGGCAGCGGCGCGGCCCACTCGTCGACCATCTCCTCCCAGACGAGCGGGGTGAGTCCGTGGTCGCGGACGCGCTTGTGTACGCGGTCGAGGAAGGCGTGGAGGAGCGGCCGCAGGACCGCCTTGTCGTCGGTCTTGAGGGCCGGGTCGAGCAGCGAGTTGCTCGCCTTGTACTCGTCGCCGCCGGTGTGGAAGTAGGCGGCGTGCGGCGCCAGCCGCGGGAGCACGTCGTCGAAGAGCTTGTCCAGGAAGGCGTCGACGGCGGTGTCGTTGAGCTTGAGGGAGCCGCAGGGCGGCTCGGCGCAGTACTTGTTCCACGGCTGCGCGTTGAACGCGTTGGACAGGCCCGGGTAGGCGCGGTCGATGCCGACGTGGCCCGGCATGTCGATCTCGGTGATGACCTGGACGCCGCGCGCGGCCGCGTACTCGTGGATCTCCTGCACGTCGGCGGGGGAGTAGGTCAGGCCCTTGGCGTACCGGTGCTTCTCGGCGAGGAGCGGCAGCGCGGGGACCTCGAGGGGCCAGGACTGCGTGTCGGTGGCGTGCAGGTGCAGCACGTTCATCTTGTTCATGGCCAGCCCGTCGACGGCGCGCTTGACGTCGGCGACCGAGTACCAGTGGCGCGCCACGTCGACCAGCAGCGCGCGGTACTTCATCGACGGCGCGTCCTTGATGGTGACGGGCGCCATGTTGGTGTACACACCGGAGGAGGAGGACTGCTTGAAGAAGAGCTGGGTGAAGGTCTCGAGGCCGCGGAGGAGACCGACGGAGGTGGCGGCGGTGATGGAGGCGTGGCCGGCGAGGGTCAGGTTGAGGGCGTAGGACTCGTCCATGGTCTCAAAGGTCGGGCGGCGCGGATCCTTGCCGGTCTGGGTGAGCGCGAGGGTGCGCACGGTGCCGTTACCGGAGCCGGCGGGAGGCTCGAAGTCGGAGTTGGCGTCGTGGAGCATCCAGGGCACGAAGCCCTGCTTGAGGATGACGTCGAGGGTGCGCGAGACTGCATCGGAGATGCGTGCGGTGTTGACGGTGCCGTTGCCGGCGTCGGTGCCGTTGCCGGCGGGGACGCGCGGACGGCAGGCCTTCTTCCCGGCCGCATCGTCGGCACGCCTGGTGACGGCTTTGGCGGCACCGCCAGCGGCGGCACCGGCCAGCGGCGCGCCATTGAGCGTCACCTTGATGTCCGCGCTCATAAAAAGCACGCCGTTGCCGGTCGAGGACTCGCTCGGGATCGGCCAGATGGCGGCGGCGGGGCCGGCGGCGGCCAGGAGGAGGCCGGCCGCGACGGCGAGAGACTTGCTCAGCATTCTCGGTCTACGAGAGGGAAAAGATGTGAAAAAGGAGTGTTGGGAGTTGGACTACAGAGGGCAGATGTAAAGAAATGGGCAACTTGCTCATTGATTTATATAGAGTATTGGCAAGTCCGGTCTTGACTCATGACGATTTTGGTGCATTGACATTACGCCCTGCTTGACTCTCCCCCCACAGCGACTGGCGTCGATTTGGATCAAAGCACTTCCGAGGAAGATTAAGCCTTGATCACAGAGTCGCTGAAGTACATTTATTAGTGCCTGTATTCTGCTCATTCAACGTTCCCCTGGCGTATCCGTCGCCGACAATCGACAGATGGCCAGACTAGGGCTGGCTGGTTCTTGAACCGTGACGCCCCGTCTCGTTAGAAATAAGTTGGCAATGACGGCAGTGGATCCCAACTGCCGACGATGGACCGCAATTCCAAATTTGATACGGACAAGAAAAGGCGACTCCAGGCTTGGATCATGCGAATCGGCTGGGGCCTCGTCTCGAATCGGGCAGGTGGAGGGGGTCTTGCATATCAGTGAAGTCCTTGAATGTCGCTAGATTAAATGATGAATATTGAAAAAGAGGTCTATAAATTCAAGGTGGCTGATGAATTTAGCCGATGGTATTTTTCTAGTAATTATTCTCGAGGAGATGGTGTTTGTGAAGCTTTGGTCGCCAACGTCCACCAATCCAACCCCACAAACGATGAAGATGATCGACAATGGCTTTTCAAGTTTTGCAACAGGTTTTGTTTTGGAATGTTTTAATTGTCATCTCGATACAGCGCTGTTCGCTTGTCACTAGCCATTTGTTTAGTTGCATTAATCTCGGCATACCCTCTACCGTTGCGCGCAACTGCAAAACCTCAAAAGTCCTGCAGGAAACCCCGACTTGTGCCTCTTCCCCCCCGTAACATGAGATTACCCTACCTCCGCTAAGAGCCGAGCCCTGCGACACGCAGCTTCTCCTCCAGGAATGCCAACCAAAACTCAGCACCGCTCCTGTCAGGTCGTAGATGTTCCGCCGGCGTCCCGATGAGGTGGCGCTGAACCTCCAGCTCGCGCACCGCATAGTCCCTGGCCGCCTCGAGGTCGCCCGTTTTCAAGGCAAGGGCTGCGCGAGCGCGGTATCTAGAATATGTCAGCACGCGCCAGGCAAGCCGCCTACCGCGCCTTCGGCTTGGGAGTTGTAAGTGGCGCGTCTCGGCAAGCGTACCCGTTGCAGAGCTCAATCCCCTCCAGGCACCTGCTGCTGCAAGAGCATGACGTGCTCCCGGGCATATCCTAAAGCTTCCGCGGCATCGATGCCGAGAGTCCGCGCGACACCTGAATGCGAGAGGTATGCCGCCACCCGCTTGCGCACCATCAAGGCCCGCTCCCGGAGCACCTCGAGCGCGGGAAGTGTGCAGGCAAGGCATCCGCACGAAAACCCGTACGCCTGTAGCAACGCAGCGCGCTGGTTCGTGGTGAGGTTCCCGCTTTTGAGGTAGCAGGTGGTTATTTGCTCTCCGGCAGGGGTGTCATGGATCGCGTGCCCCGTGAACCGCCTGATGGTGTCGTTGTACGAGCCGTAGGGACTGGTAGGCCTGGGCAAGCTAATGATGGGCATCTCTTCTACAATCCTGGTTCCACGAGGTATGTCTCTCACGGCGAACAGACCTTTGCCCATGGCGCCAGCAGAACGAACTTCCACCAAGCCAGGATTTGGAGGAGAATCGCTGGGGAGGGACGCTGATGCACCTGCGGTAGTTGACTTCGACGGCTCTTACACGTAACTCGTACGTCGTGCTTTGACTCGCGACTAAAATGGCCCGATAAACGTTGAAGAAGAAAGATAGAGAACTTATTTTCCATGTATTACACGGAGTTATCTTGAGGATTCCTTTCACCGAAACCTTTGCCTAAACACGTTATAATCATATTTACTCACGGGGGCTGTGAATCAAAGCATGCATTCAGGCAGCCCTGCCGCTTCGCAAGCCTTGAACACTCCACAGCACGCATGTTACTGGAACTGAAGATTAAAGGATTGTCCGGAAATTTGTTTGCTACAAAGGAAGTCTTTTGAGCTTTGAGTCTCGTATGGGACTACTTGGCGTGGCGGCCGAAGATGCTTTGTCAGGTCAGCACACAGTAGCTGCTAACAGTAGCTGCTTCAGACTCACTTGTGAAAGGCTTGTCCAAAGAAGCCCGGCTTGACGTGCTGGTCGTGTATCATCTTTCGTCTTTCTGTGGCCTCGGCACTACGACGGTGCTGCGCCAATCCCGCCATGCCACGCGACTCACTCGAGTTCTAGGCTGGCAGTTAGCAAGAGTGCTCTAACGTGTCCGTGTGTACGACGACTTACGCTCATCTTGGTCTGCAAATCTGCGAGGTTCTCGGGCGTCTTTCCGTCGGAGCTCATGTTTCCTTTCTTTTTTGCTGGTGAGGGATGGTTACTGTATAGCGTGCGGGTTACAAGGGCTATACAAGGCGGAACATGGCTGTCTATAAACTAGAGCGGCACAGATCTACGCCACAGGAATGGCGAAATCCGCATCGAGAAAACATGAAAAGGCCCATGATCTGGGTGTCTCAGACCCACCTTGACCTGATCAAGAATCGCCAAAGTCAAACTGGTGATGAGCGCTTAGAGTCCACTAGCCGCCCATCGCCTGTTGCCATCAAGACGTCATGGATTTTGCGCATGAGCCTAGGTGAGTCACAACCCAAAAACAAAATTGGCTCGATTTGGATTAAAATATGCCGCTTTTTAACATCGACACTAGCATCCCGACGATATGCGGCATCCCCCGTAAATGGCCCATGACGCGCACCATTCGAGTGGCGACTGCCGGGCTGTGACTTAAAGCACCTGTAAGCGCCTCTTTCCATGCCACGGTGCTTGCCCGAACACGCTCTCTACAAAACTCAAAAACCACCAAAGAATTCCAACTTAATCCAACATGAACACTCTCCGGCAATATTACCGGCCACTAGCCCGCCACGCCACCCGCGCCCTCCCCGCCCAGCGGCGCCTCCTCGCCTCCGACGCACCTACCCTATACACCGCGACCGCCACCACGCAGGGCCCGCGCGGCGGGAACATCAACGGCAGCGAGGGCTTCCAGGCCGCGTACGTGATGCCGAAAGCTCTCGGGGGTCCCGGTGGCGAGCGCAAGACGAACCCGGAGGAGCTGCTGGCCGCGGGGTACAGCAACTGCTTCCAGGTGGCGATGAACCTGGCGGCGATCAGCTTGAAGAGGCGTCTGCCGGGGGGTTGTCAGGTGAAGGCGGCGGTGGAGCTGCTCGGGAGCATCAAGGAGATGGATATGGGGTTCAGGGTCGGGCTGGAGGTGCGCGCAAAGGGCATGGGGAAGGGGGAGCTGGAGGAGGTGGTGGAAAAGGCGAGGGAGATTTGCCCGTATTACAGGGCAATGCACGGGCAGGTCGAGACGAACATAAAGGTATTAAGCGATTAATGTTGTGAGAGAATTGAGGAATGACTAGAGCTGTATTGAGGCTGGACTGGGTCGGTATTGATATGAGGTGGGTGTGATAATCATGACTCGCAGCATAATGATGGTGGACGCTTGTCTGCTGAAGCTTTGTGCGCGTGGTCGATCGTGAATAAAGCAAGATCTCTGTTTGGGATTCAAAGGCTTTAGATACTAGCCAGATTCCTTTTGAACCATCTTTACAGCCACTAATTAACCAAGGCGCCTCAAGGAACGTTCCGTCTTGTCCGCCCGGAAGAGGCATGTACCGGGATGATGCAGCCCTACCAACGTCGTCAATGGATTTGGCTCAATATTCTAGAACAAACCTATTAGCTTAAGCGCGAAATTGATCCAATTTAGAGAACAAGTTGTATTCATGCAGAAACCGTTGTAACTAATTGTCAGAGGTGTCATGCGGCTCTTTACCACTACTCAGGACTAATCAATATTGGCCCACCGCCAAAGAGGTTCACGGTCCAATATAACAATATAACACCCTCGGATGCAGTTCGGTGAATGGCGGCAGATGCAGCTCGAAATAGGCAAGGAAATGAACGGTATTTATGCAGCGTCAGCTCTGCCCGGAAAGGGTAAGCACGACGTCCGGCATTTGCTGCCCAGATGGCGATGGCGCTTACGCCGATGTGAGGCGACGCAACCCTGCGTGGTCGTCGTTTATTCTCAGCTGCGACGGGGGTGGGCTAATTGAATGAGTATCCGAGTGTCGTTTTCCGTAGAAAAATACCAGCAATTGCTCTACTAGTGAACTAGAGAATATTTTGATATCTGTATTTAACCCAGGTGAAGAGCAGCGCACGCCTCCTCTCGATTGGCGGCTCGAGAACAGACCTAGCGGCGGGCATCCTTTTAGTCCATTCTCATGCCGCATATCCAAAAAATCATCCTTTACGAGCGCTGAATGGGCATGCGTGAAAAGATTGTGCCAAAATAGATAAACTTGCTTCGCTGCAAGTATTGGTTAGGTCTGTGAGGTCTTGAGGCTGGCGTCTCTGTGGCCCGTCTCCAAAACTTTTGCAGACAAAGAACTAGGTAAAGTGCGGACATTTGTATAAGTTAAGAACCTGCAATAAAACCAGACTGCAGTAAAGAGAGTCAACGCTAAACGTCGATGCGTTGGTTCTCAACCCCGTGCGAATGCCGATCCAAGCTTGCTGGTATGAAGCTCATCCAAACTCGTGCGAATCATCAGCCGCAGGTGCTGGCACAAAATTTTATATTCCCCATCCCTTTCATTTATGCATCTAATCCTGCATGTAAAACTCGATGAACTGTCTACGGCCTGCGTCGCCCTGGCATATAAGACGTCTGTAAGCCAATTCCACTTTCTAGGCAGAGACAGTCGCCTCATCTGCAGCAAACCAGCCCTGTCCCACACACGTCAAGCATCACTAGACCAGTTATACAAATAATAAGCGATTAGCACCACAGAAGTCCCCCGTCAACCCCGGAAAACGTGGGTGCCTCTGCCGCGTGGTGTCGCGAAACGGGTCCCGTAAGCAGTAAGTCGTCGGGCTGGACCGGTAGTCTCACCCTCGCCCATGCTTGCAGATGGCATCTTGCGTAGAAACAGCGTTCTATTCTTGCCCGTCAGACTAAAAAGGGCAGGATCTGACGCCCGTGCGTCGGATAATATTGTACGACCGTCGCGTGGGCCTCCATATATATAGGGCTCCCGTGGCCGGCTTCGAATGGAATCAAGCCCATCTTGCACACTTGCCGCCATCTTTCAACTCAACAACGGGCATCTTGTAACCGACCAATCTCGAACTTCACCACTACACAATGAAAAGCCTCCTCCTCTCCGCGTCCGCCCTGGCCCTCGCCGCCGCCACGCCCCTCGCAGAACACGCAAACACCTGCACCCAGGGGTCCAAGCCGCCCTACGGCGCCCTCACGCACAGCGCGTGCCCGTGCTGGAACTGGTACCAGATCCAGCGTGGCGAAAACGAGTGCGGCAAGGTCGCCGCCAAGTTCAACGTCAGCCGGGACGACATCATCCGCTGGAACCCGGACGTGAGCGCCACCGTCGACGGCGTCTTTTACGACTGCATCAACTTTTGGCCGCAGCAACAGGTTTGCGTCGGTACGTCCTGGCATGAGTGCTCGAGTGAGGAGAAACGAGGACTGACAATTTGGCTTCAGGCGTCACGCCGCCCAGCCCCCTCCCCACGCCGCCGTGCAACGAAGAGCCCCCGTACCCGGTCGGCGAGGGCACCGTCTGCGGCTGCAAGAAGTGGTATCAGATCCAGCGTGGTGATGATTGCGGCCCGGTGGCGTCCAAGTTCGGCATCTCGGCGGACCAGTTGATCAAGTGGAATCCGTGGCTGTCAGCGGATGTCCAAGGCACGCACTACCCTTGTATGAACATGTGGCCGACGGAAAATCTCTGCGTTGGTACGTTACATCTTCCCTTGGCATGGTTAAGAAAATGGGCTAACAGAATGTATCTAGCCGCCTAAATCCGCTTCATCTCCTCATGACACATTCATCTTTCTCATTAGCGATTTCACGAAGCCATCATTCATGTACATACACTCTGGCTGCTGGATAGAAACAGCCAATATACATTTCAAGAAAAGCATATTTGCTGCCGCAATATACGCGAGTCAAATAAATATACCGAGACACCATCTGACCTCTCATCTCTCCTTACTGGCTGTTTAAAGCAATGTCAAAAATGTCGTAATTCTTCCACTCCCGAGTCTTCTTCCCATCCTTGACCGGTATCGAAAGCAGCACCGGCACATCCTGCTCCGACAACCCTCCGTGCGACCGCAGCCGCCGGCCCTCCAGCCCCGACAAGTCGTGCTCCGCCTCCCTCGCGCCCAGCACCGCCCCCTCCGTCGCCACCACCACGAAGTCGCCCTCCCTATCCGCCGGCATCTCCCACCTTGCCGCCGCCTCGGCGCCTTCCAGCGCCGTCTCCACCTCCGCGAACCCGCGCATGTGCGCCACCATCGCCGGGACCTGCGCCGCGTGCGATGCCGGCACGTACACCCGCACGAACCCGCCGAGCGCGCCGTGGTGCGCGACGAACGGGTCCGCGATCGGGCACACGACGCGCGCGCAGCCGGGCCCGCCAAACGCCCGCTCCAGCACGTCCTGCACGTACAGCGGCGGCGCGCCGCCCTTGTCGCTCATCCCGTGGTCGCCGGTGACGCCGACCACCGCGCCGAGCGCGAGACACGCGCCGACCGCGTCGTCCACCGCCGCCATGAACGCGCGCGCCTCGGGGGCGTCGGGTGCGTGGTTGTGCTGCACGTAGTCGGACAGGGTCAGGTAGAGCAGGTCCACGCGGCGCTCGCGCAGCATCCGCGTGCCGGCGTCGAGCACGCACAGCGAGAGGTCCGCCGAGTACTGCTCCGGGCGCGCCGCCCTGCCGAGCCACGCGAGCACCTCCTCGGATGCGAGCTGCGTGGATAGGCAGGACCCCGGGGGGAGGCCGCGCTGGAGGATGCGGCGGAGCTTGTCCTTGGCGGTGACGGCGGTGACGCGGACGCCGCGGGCGGCCATCTCGGCGAGGATGGTGGAGCCGCGCATCAGCGAGTCGTCGAGGATCATGGACTCGGCGCCGGTGGCGCGGTCGAGGAAGTAGTTGGTGGCGATGCCGTGGACGGAGGTGGGCGCGCCGGTGATGATGGAGACGTTGTTGGCGTTGGTCACGGAGGGCATGGAGCACTGGGCGGTCGCGTGGAAGCCGGTGCGCATGAGGGAGGCCATGTTGGGCAGGATGCCCGCGGCGAGGCCGTCGGCCAGATACTCGGGGTCAAAGCCGTCGACGCAGATGATGACGGTGGGCTTTTTCGGCAGTTGATAGGTCCGGCCGTGGAGGGTGACTACAAACAGTCAGTACCGGGACGCAGCGAGCAGGATGGACCAACTCACCAGGTTGCGTATCCGACATGGTGGAAGGTATTGGGCTTTGCTTGTTGTTTTTTTCAAGATGAAAACATTGAAAAGAAACACAGGCATAAATAATCTATTGTATATACTCGCGCCTTGGCGAGCAGCGGGAGATGCAGCTGCTCAGCCTAGCGCGCTGCCGGTGAGAAGTCCGATGGCTACAGCATACCAGAGGAACTAGGAGCGAGATAGTTGCCAAGCCTTTCATGCAGTATTTCAAACCCGAAAACGCCACGGTATGTACACTAGAAAAGTGAAGCGCAACGCTTTGCTCGTGCTGATATAGACAAGGCCGGCGCCCCGTCCCGTCGATGTCGGCGGAGCGGGGCCGGCAGGACAACCGTTTGTTCGTTCCGTCATCATCACCTATGCTTGTGCATTATTCTTCTAGGTCTGCAGTTTCACTTTACAGAAACTCTGACAGATCTGCTTGGTCAACCAAAAAGTCATACGTTCCCATGAAAAAGTTGCTCGGCTCCCCAAACATGCCCAGAACATCATTGTCGTCGGCCGCCAAACTCAGCTTGGGATCCTGCAACGCCGGCTGCGGGTCCGCCGCGTGGATGCCGGTCACCGCGGCCAGCTGCTGCTGCTGCTCTGGCGCCGCCGTGCCCTCCTGGACCTTCATCTTCTGCACCAGGCCGCGCATGCCCTTGGTCATGCTCACCAGCAGGTGCCGCCTGTGCATCCGCGCCGTGACCTTTTCCAGCGCCGCGACCGTGTCCGCGATGAGCGGGCGGATCTCGCTCGTGCGCGCCTGCACGAAGCCGAAGCGCGCCGACGAGACCTTGATGAGGAAGACGATGGAGAAGGCGAGCATCGTGGCGAAGTAGACGGGTAGGCCGTCGAAGAAGGACTGCAGCTCCTCGTCGGCGTTGACGGAGCGCAGGATCGCCGTGGCCGCGCGCACCGCGCCGTTGGCGATCTCGTCGAGCTCCACGACGACGTCGGCGGAGTGCTGCGCCGTGCGGGCGGCCGCGCCGCCGCGGAAGGCGTGAGAGCACAGGTACAGCTTGGAGAAGTGGTACTGCAGCGCGACGCCCTTGCGCGGGTAGTTGCCGATGTGCGGGTTGGGCGCGAAGCGCTCCATCCACTCGGCGCGCAGCGTGTCCATGGCGATGTTGTACCGCCGCAGCGCGGGAAGGTCCGCGTCGCCGAGCGGCCGGTTGACGTCGACGCCGAACGAGTCGACCGCGTCCGAGAGCACCGTCCACCGCAGTACATGGCTTACCAGGCGCGCGTCCTCCTCGGCCGTCGCCGTGGTCTCGCGCGGCAGGTCCAGGAAGCGGCGCACGCTGCGGATCGCCTCGCACTGGCGCGTCAGCGGCGGCCGGCCGAAGGGGATGCTGAAGTGGTGGTCGCAGATGTAGACGAGGTAGTACAGGCGCGCGTGCAGGTACGCCTTGCGGTCGCCGCGGAGAGCGCGGAAGAAGGCCTTGTGCAGCTGCAGCTCCGTCGCCATGCGCACGGCCGTGCCGACGAGCGTCCACGCGACCTCGCCGAGCCAGAAGGCGCCGATGCAGAGCGCCCGGATGTCGTCGACGCTGACGTCCTTGGAGAAGGTTTGCGACGCGCACTGCGACAGGAAGGCCGCGCAGCACGACTGGTAGTCGGGCGAGGCGAGGTGCAACGCCCCGACAGTGGACACGGCCGCGACGAGCAGCGGTGATGAGGAGCGGGCGTACTCGAGCGTCCGCGTCTCGACGTCGCCGAGGATGCGGTATGGGAAGTGGTCAAGTCGGGTTTGGTAGGCGTCAAAGTAGCGTTGCGCTGCTTCCAGTGTGATTATACCGCGTGAGATGATGTCGCTGCAATTGGCAAGCCTTGGCTGCGACTCCCCTTGGGATATGTAAAAGCCTGGAAGAGAGCCGGGACTGGATTCGAGGTCCATGACGATGCTCCAGTTGTTGCCTGTGGGATTAGTCTCTTTCAGAGACTCTGGCTGTGGGTTTCCGAGTTCTGGCTCTTCCGACATCATGGTAGTGTCATCGCCCATGTCTGCGGCCATGGTGGTATCACCTGGGCTATCTGCGTCGCCGTCCAGGAGACGTAGTACTTCGGCAGCGTTGGCGCTGCCAGCAGCTCCAGTGCGAAGAACCGCCTCAATACGGTCGATCCTTTTTTCCATTTGTCCTTTCCAGCTGCAGAAATGCTATGTTAGTAATTGTTCGCTAAATGGGCGCTTTGCAATAAGGCACTTGCACATTGTCGTTCTCGAGCAACATCTGCAGGCTGCGATTGACTGTGCAAGGCAGCCCACGCTTCTTGCAGCGGGTGCAAGGTGGTTGCGAATCTTTCATGTGGCATTTTATCTAGCAATTGGTTAGCATAGCTGTCCTCAACTCAGTTGCTCAGAGATACATCATAGCAGTACACACCTTTTGCTTGCGACACGCGACACACGCGGTTATCTTGCGTGTAATAGTCGGCGGCCCACTAGCCAGTGCTTCATCTTGTCCAACGACCGGCGCAAGGCCGTTGCCAGCAGATGCCGGCATTCCGAGCGATGTATATCAGACCAAGACTGAACTATATAACTGATACGAACCCCAGCAGGAGGCAGGCTGCCGAACGCGAGCAGCAAGGCAACTGGTCTGCCAAGTAACGTTGGCTAGCGTCTAAGCCCTGCAGGAGTGCGCTGGCGTGAGACAGTTGGCCATAAATCTCCGAGACTACGGTAATGTCACCGCAGGATTGTGAGATGCTAACGGATAAGAAGTGCAGTTGGCCGGAGTTGTGTTTGAAAAGTAATGGACTTCTGACCGAGTCCCCCACATCGGGCTTCTCGCCGAGTTTTCTGTGCGTGTCCCATTTCGGCTTAGCGCCTGTTTATCTTCTGCACTGTCGGTGATGGCTTCAAGCTACTACCTTTGGTCATCACTCCATACTCATCAAAGGTAAAGCAGAAAACCGAAAAAACACCAAAAATCGAGTAGCCAAATGACACTCAATGTGGCTCGCTCGCTCAAAATTCCACGGTTCTGAGTGAACTACGTGATGCTGTGGCAAAACTGCGCCTCGGCCTGACTCGCCGCCATATGCTACCTGCTTCAATTCTCACAAGGCATCCCATACTTTCATCGAAAGGGCAATTCATCTCATCGCCAACGAAAATATTTTTCTCGCAGCCCAGCCTCAACAAGATTGCGCGTCTGTAGACGCTTCACTTTACACTATGCTCTAAACCATCACCATCCCCACCTAGCCTACAGACTAGCAGCCGCTGCGCCTTGTGCCAGGCGCAGCCATGCTGTTGGGATGGAAAACCTTATATCTTCATCACGGCTCAGCCCCGCGTTTAACCGATCTCGATATCTCCTCGGCGACTGTGGACCAGGAGCGGCCTCCAGCAAGGCTTCGTCTCATCTCGGGTTACCATGTAATTGTAAAGACCAGCAACATACGCCCATGTATAAAGAAAGGACAGGCCAGCCATCTTAGTCATACTACGAGTCAATAGGTGAGCAACACCCGCATTCAGTATCATCCACATCCCAGACCTGACGATGCTCCTCAAGATGGCCACCATGGCTCACCTCGCAACCGCCAACTTCTTCCGCCCCGCGGAATGGCACAAGCACTCCGGCGTCATCATGGCCTGGCCGGCCGCCGCCAACGACGCCTACCGCGACGACAAGCAGGGCCTCCGGGACGTGACCAAGGACATCAGCACCGTCGCCGAGGCCGTCGCGCTCTTTGAGCCCGTCACGCTCGTCGTCGTCCCCGAGCGGCTCGCCGAAGCTGAAGCCCGCTTCCGCCACCCTTCCTCTTCCTCCTCCTTCAACATCACCCTCCTCCCCGTCGACGGCTACCCCAAGCTAGACCTGTGGATGCGCGACATGGCCCCGACCTTTGTCGTCAACGACGACGACGCCGACGCCCGCCTGCACGCCGTCGACTTCAACTTCAACGGCTGGGGGCACAAGTACCCCACGGACGCTCGCCAGTCGCTGGCGCGCACCATCGCCGGCCGTCGCAGCATTCCGGTGGTGCCGTCGTGGCTCGTCACCGAGGGCGGCTCGCTCGAGGTCGACGGCGACGGGACGCTGCTCATCACCGAGAGCTCCGTGCTCATCGAGAACCGCAACCCGGGACGCGCCCGCGCCGACGTCGAGGCGGAGCTGCGCCGCACGCTCGGCGTCGAGACCATCGTGTGGCTACCCGGCCGGCGCGGCCTCGACATCACCGACGGGCACGTCGACGGCCTCGCGCGCTTCGTCGCGCCGGGGCGGGTCCTCCTCAGCCGGCCCAGCAGCACAGACGACGAGGACGACCCGTTTGTGCAGATGTACCGCGAGGCGCGCGACATTCTCGCGCGCAGCACCGACGCCCGCGGCCGCCGGTTCCGGGTCACAGAGGTCGTGGAGGCGGACCTGCGGAAGATTGGCGCGGATAGGCAGACACGCAAGGACGTGGAGAGCGGCAGGGAGGACTACCCGGCGCTGACGTACGTCAACTACCTGGTCGTCAACGATGGCGTCGTCTTCCCGCAGTTTGGCGACAGGAAGGCGGACAAGGCCGCGCTCAGGGTCATCCAGGACGCGTATCCGGACCGGGAGATTGAGCCCGTGTACATTTATGAGCTGCCATTTTATGGCGGCGGGATCCACTGCTCGACTCAAGAGATACCCGTTCCAAGAAATTAGTAAACAAAAAACATGAAAAATCCGTTCATTCTCCTTCACCCGTCTTTGCGGGCGAGCCGGTTCGTTACAAAAATAGCTGCATGTCTTAGACCGCAATGTCGTACGGCAGTTTCTACCTTGTCTCATCGCGGAAACAAAAGACGACATTGAACCCTAGAAAACAAGTCAAATTTTTTATGCAAGGCAGATCCTCTAATCCCGCAGTTATGCATTCAGCTCTGCGCCAATCTGTCGGGACCTGCTAGTTCCGGGGCCGTTGTGCAGCGCTTATCAGCACAACTCTGTTGACGTTCGCCGAATCCATGTCTCAGTTATTCTAATTACCCACGTTTGCAACTAAAATGTTTTGCTTCTTTTTGACAGGTAAGACATGTGATCCTTGTCATGCCTCGGGAATACCAGAGCCTCGCGCGGGGTGAGCTAAGGAAAACCGCCTTTCGTACTATCCAGGTCTTATCGCGTAAAAGTCCACCACAGGTTTATAGACGATTTAACCGAGATCAAGCACTATATCAGTAAAGTAAATCTGCTGGAAGCCATGTCGTGCGCAAGTAATAAGATGTGGCGTCTATAGCTGCCCCGATAAGCTACTTCACAAGAGAAGGACGGCGGAGGGAGCACGACAACGTTAATTGACATCGCCTATATAGAATGAGGCGTCCAGTCAAAGCGCTTATTAGCGGGACCCTCAATTCTGTGCCTGAACACAAACAAACATGCCGGTATTCTCAGGTCCCGATAGACTTAGCCGACGGGCATTCACAAATTGTGCACATCTCCCTGGCCTACCTCACCCCCCTGAAAAGGGTTTTCCTCGGCAAAGGCCGGCACGGCTTCCTACTGGCAGAGGGGGAACGGACTCCATCTCCAGTCTGGGGAAAGAGAAAATTATTGGATAGTTACTCAGCTGCCAACCTGTCGGCTGAACATGTACGTTTTGTGACGGAGTGGGAGGCAGAAGCTCGTACGGTCGATACCAATTGAGAAATTTAGAGACGGCTAGCCTACCATCGGGAAGCCGATGTCACGAACCAGAGCTGAGGAAAAAGCAAGTCATGGTGAAAGGTGAGGGCAGGGCCATGACCGTAGTCCCGGGTCCTCTCATGTCCTCCGTTGCCGTTGCGGGGTGTGACCGACAGACGAAATGAATCTCCCAAGGACTTGGCATACCTAGAGCGAGTCCACGGGCATTTCGAGTGCATTCATCTATGGCTAGCTGAACCTAACGATCCACGCACCCCAGGTTGATCGTCATAACTGCCGCCTCCTCTCAGTGCAAGTCCCGGAGCTAGAGCAATCTCTTCCTCCAGTAGAGCCATGTATAAGAAGACGTGTATTGCAGCGTGCATATGCACTACCCATCCTATGTGGCCCTTTACTGTACTATTACCCTCCCTCGTCCGGTAGTCCTTCCGTATAAGCCATGGTCCGCCTCCTCGCCCTCGCCCTCGCTCTCCTCAGCAGCACCGGCGTCGTCCGCGCCGCCTGGGCACCCTCGGCCGACACCAAGGCCGTCTGCGACGCTCTCCTCGCGCAGTACCCGGGTAAGCTCGCCTGGGATCCCCTCGGGCCCTACGGCGTCCACACGCTCGCCCGCGCCGGCGCCTACAACTCCGCCAACCTCGACTACTGGAACGCCGCGAGCAGCCTGAACCGCGCCGCCTGCGCCTTCTTCCCGTCGACGACGGACGAGGTCGCCTTCGCCGTGCAGACGCTCAACAAGTACGAGTCGGTGCGCTTCGCGCTCAAGGCCGGCGGGCACAACCCGAACCTCGGCTTCTCCAGCGTCGGCGGCGGCGTCCTGATCGCGTTTCGGCCAAACTTCCAGACGGCGGCGCCGTCCGAGGATGGCGAGGCGGTGGTGATTGGCGCGGGGTGCAAGTGGGAGGACGTGTATAGCGTCTTGCAGCCACTTGGAAAGACGGTCACCGGCGGCCGTCTGGGTGATGTTGGCACGACTGGTCTCATCCTCGGCGGCGGTCTGTCCTACCTCTCTGCCCAGCATGTAAGTGATGATACTGAGCTACCCTCTTCGATTCATTTCCATCTGATCCCCCCCTTTCCATTTACCTCGCCTGTCTGTTTCATCCATGCAGGAGGTATTGCTCACACTTCCCAGGGCTTTGCCTGCGACAATGTCCTCAACTTCGAGACCGTCCTCGCCAACGGCACCGTCGCGCACGCCAACGCCACGTCGAACCCGGACCTGTTCTTCGCCCTCTGCGGCGGCGGCAACCGCTACGCCGTCGCCACCAAGATCACCATGCAAGCCTTCGACTCCGGCGTCGGCGGGCAGATCTGGGGCGGCGTGCGCACCTACACCGAGGACAAGCACGCCGCCGTTCTTGAGGCCGTGTCGCGCTTCACCTCCGAGAACACCGACCCCAAGGCCGCCATCATCCCGACCTTTAACTTTGCCGGCGCCGCTGCCGTGCTCAACGTGCCCTTTATCCTCGTCACCTTCTTCTACGACGATGTTGAGGTGCCGGCGGGCGTGTTTGATGCCTTTGACGCCATCCCGACGCTCAGCGACAACACCGACGTGCGGCCCTTCACGGAGCTCACCGAGGAGATCCTCGGGGGGGACATGAAGGGCCTGCGCTTCCGCATCGGCGTCAACGCGTTCCCCGCGATGCCGGTGGAAAACATGACCGATTTTCTGGTGGATCACTTCGCGCTGATGAAGAGGCGCGCGGCGGCGGCGGCGCTGCTGGAGCCGCTCGACTTCAAGATCTGCTCATTCGCGGTGCAGCCGATGCCGGCGCTGCTGGCGCGCGCGTCGCGGGACCGCAGCGGAGGTGCGGGCAACGCGCTGGGGGTCGACCCGGACCATGGCGACCGCGTATGGGTCGAGTACGACCTGGCGTGGGCGAACCCGCTGTGCGACGAGCTGTGCACGTCGTGGATCAAGAGCATCGTGAAGGAGGCGCACGACCTGCACGCGCAAAAGTACGCGGGCATCTACCCGACCAACTACAAGAGCGGCGACTTGGAGACTCTGAGGTGAGTAGGACTGGGTCCTGGAGAGAGGAATGTTGATTGCTAACTCCTCTTTTGTTTTAGCTACAACCCTATCTTCATGAATGACGCGTTGGACTCGCAGCCCGTGCTGGAGAGTTACGGTGCGCAGAACCGTGCGCGGCTGATGGCGATCCAGTCGGCGTACGATCCTAACGGTTTCCTGATGACCCGACAGAACGGGCCTGCCTTTTAGATGCGGGGATGAACTAGGCCGAGCTTATCTTTCAATGTAACTGCTTGGATTGCTCGTTCATATAGCCTATTATATATGTGTAGATATATGTGTATATACCATGGTGTAACTCTCCGATCTGCTTCGGGATAGACCTTGAGCTGAACTGGTAGACTCGCTGAATAATAGGCGAGAGCAGAACATATATGTGCATCTACTTTTCCAGCCTCACTAGCTGTGCAATGCTATATCAACCCTCTTCATCAGGCTTGGGGGCGTTTCCGTCTCTTATCTCTGTGCAAGTTGCTCGTGTTCCTCGTACCCGTCTCCGAGGTGCCACGACCTCGTCTCAAGTCCAGCATGCGGTATCACCCTCTACCGTGCGTTCGCTTATTATCACAAATAAAACGCGCATCTCGGCACCTAAATGTTCTCCTGCTGTCAAGAAATATTATCGCCTCGGCTCAGCGGTGGCGAGGAAAAAAAAAAGTCAATAGTCGGCGACTTAGTGGCCTCGGAGCCGAAAGGCGCTAACGAGACGTACGATCGGTGGCCCGATGCTTGTGACCAGGTTTTCGGAGCGGCGCGGGACACTAGGGAAGTCAGCCCAGGCTCACGGGCCAGTTGCTTAAAAAAAAATCTGGGACTATGGGGCGCTAAACATTTTCACATGTCGGGAGATGGAAAAAAGATGCAAAGGGGTGGCAACGGGTGGTATACGTAGGGTTTGACTCGTGCTGTAACAATCCTCATTCATGCGGTGGCAGAGGATCACAGGTTGGGCATCACATGCATGAATGATGGCTTGAACCAGTCACGTCGAGTTGGAATGCAAACAGAGGTAAACAGAAAAAAGTCTATTAAGGATAGAAAAACATGTCCAATCGGTAACTCGCTTTTATTGTCATCCAAGTCATCGCCATTTCATGCAATTTGAAAACAGAAGAGAAGAGCCAAATAGACTGAATGCGCGTTGCACCTGTTTCAAGCCGGCAGTCGTAGTCTCCAGACTGGCCCAGCCGTGGAAAGACCAGAGCATGTTGTAGAGAGTGTGTGTGACAGATCGCCTTGGGCTGCAAAGGAGAGTAGCCACAAGAGAAAGACGGAAACCAATCAACAACCGGCAAGTACTGTATGCCCAATAACCCCAAAGATTTTGCGTGGTAAAAAGACAAGAAGAAAGGAGGGAGTATAAAGTCAGACAGAAAAAGAGACATCATCCCAGTTCAAGGCGCCATGACGCGACGTGACCATGTTGGAAAAGAGCATCTCTCGACATGGTGTGACATTGCACCAGGCAAAAGTCATAAAAACGCCGAAAAACGAACCCCAGTTGCCGCAGCCAACGATGGTTTCATATGGAAAAGTAAGGGGAAACCCGGAAAATGAGTTACTGGTTAATCTTCTCCTTGACCTCCTGGGTGACCTCGGCCTTCTTGACAGCGACGTAGCTGGTGGCGAGGGCGAGGGCCTCGTTGCTGACCTGGAACACGGTAGCGACGGCGGCCTTGCCCTGGCCCAGGTAGCCCTTCTCAGCCTGCTTCTTGGCCTCGGCGTTGTAGACCTCGAAGACGTGGTCGCGGCCCTCGAGGCCCTTGTTGTAGGGCAGGAAGACGAGGGCCTTGGCGTCGCTGTAAAGCTCGGCGGTGGGCTTCTTGACGATGGGGAAGGTCTCGTCGATGCGGGAGAGCGTCTTGTCGCCGAGGGAGTCGGCGCGCTGCACGTACGGCGAGACGTACTGGTAGGGCCGCGCGAAGTAGGGGAGGATGGGGGCGGCGAAGGTCTTGTAGGCGGAGTCGCCGAGCTTGATGGAGCGCTGGGCGTAAGTGTTGGAGTGGACGGTGCTAGAGACGGTGTTGACGCTGTCGGAGATGATGGGGTAGTTGAGGAGGTGCTAGAGAGCATGTTAGATGCTAATTTCTTGGTGATGATGATGGGGTTGGATGCAAGCTGTGGCGGGCGCGTACCTGGATGAAAGCAGACTGAGGGGTAGATTCCTCGACGTTGCCGTTGACCTGAGCGACAGCCATTGTGGTGGAGTGTGGCGTTGTAGTGGTGGTGGTGAAGGGTATCTTTTGGGTAGAGGGTAGGATCGAGGATTATGTCCTTGGATTCAGGCGATGTTCGAATGAAGCAAAAAGAAAAGAGCAAATCTAGAGGGAGGAGAGAAGCGTGTGGCAGGCCTTTATCTGTTTCTGGCTCGTCGATACGTGCAAGACGAATTCTTGATTTAGAGCAGGGGTGCAAGGGTGGTTGCGTCTTGGTGGGCGCCACGCATGTGATAGTGGCCACCAAGAAGCAGTCTGGCGATTGCCATTTTTCAGGCAAAAGAAGAATACCTACAAGACACGAGGGCACAAATAGTTATTTATTTATTTTCTACTGCATACGCAGCTTCACACAGTCCACCTGATCCCCTCGTATAAATCTGTAAATCTGCATTTCTTTCTCTTCCCTGGGGCTCGCAGCTGGCAGTGAAGCAAACAGAGGCTAGAGGGAAGGCTGCCAGCTGGCAGCGCCCGTTTGCTGCTCGCAAGCTGCTGGATCGCCGCGACAGCTGGTGGGCCAATCCGCACCTTTGATTGGCCCGTCTTCGCATCCACACCATTCTTGCCTACGCTTGCGATTCTGGATTCTAGCATGTGAAAGCCTCAAAGCCACCCCTTCCCTTGCTCCTCCACCACCAAACCTCCCTCTGATTCATCCAAAGATCTAATCTATTCCCAGCGCTACCGCTCCATACCTTAACGCTAGTATGTCGCACAGCCAAGCCGCCTCGAGTCTAGAGAGGTCTCTCGCCTACACCTACGCCTACGCAGGCTCCCTTTTCCGGCGCGCGCTCGGATCCACCATCTGTCACAATCTACTGTTGCCACCAACCCGTGCCAACGCTCTCTCCTCGCCCAACCGCTGCGGCCACGACGTGTCCTGCGACGGTTTTCTTGGATGGGAGGGGCCTAAAAATGGTACCTTTGTCTGCATACGCCACTAGGTCCCAACGTCCAAGGCCGTGTCGTGATGGTATCAAGGGGTGGCAAGCCTTATCCCGCACGAGAAATTGTCGGACGCTGCCCAGCATGTACTCGCACTACAGAATATGCATGTTATCAACGACAACGCACTTCTATCTGCCGCCACATTGTAGTGCCCGGAAATGCGGACTGATACATACACGAACCTGCTTCAGGATGGCATGTCACACCTCACCGTGCGTATCGCAGAATGGGCACAAATCATCTGCCGTTCCGTCGACAGCATTCCCACGATAACAGCGCCGCCGGCCTACTCAATTGAGTGTCGATGTGGACAATCAGCGTAATGCTGCACTGAATTGTGCCAAATTTCTACCCCATGATACGACATTCTGCCGCTCTCTCGTCTGTGGCTTGCAGCGATAAGCATAGCCAAGCTATTGTGCTGTTGGGGGCGTGGCTCTATTTGCGTTGCTGATAACACCACCGTCAGACCTTGTCACAGAACCACCACCCAGCCTCCTATCTTGTGCTACACCGCGGGCCAATCTTGACTCACCTCACCGCTGACAGGTCTGAGCTAATCCAGTTGGTCTTTCGTTGCTTCGATACAAGGCACTGAATCTAATACCCGTGTTGCTCTCGGGAACCCCAGGTCAGCTCCAATGAACAGATGCTAGCATGAACTCTGTTTACGAAAAGCAACCGGAACTACAGCACTAGCATACCATACCAGGTTTTATTAGCATGGCGAAATTGCTCACCACATGTTTGCCATCATGGGCCTATCATATTCATAGACGGAGGTGAGCTTGCGACGAGTACAGCCGCACCAGTTTCCGTGTTCGGCCTGAGCGCCAGCCGTCTACTCGGTCGCCACAAGGCCGGCGCTCCTCCGGGACGGTAATTACGTACAGCCGCAACGAGCGGTTTTTCCCATTCAATTCAGCTACTAGCTTCCAACTACGCCACCCGCAGCTAGCCCGTGAAGGCCGAGATGGCATCGGGCCAGAAGAATGGACTTGGTGCAAAGCTGGGTCCAACAAAAATGGGTTGTCGGTTCCAACCAGGTAGCAAAATGCGCCAGATGGGAAACTCCGTTCCCAGCTACGGAGGGTTTACGAAGCGGCCATTGCCCTCTTTTATTATTAACTAGCTGTTGCCCGGCGGCTGTGGCATCGCATGACATGCTTGGCGTCTGGGTCCTCTCTCCCTTGTCGACAACGGCCTCCCTTGGAAGGACAACAAACCAGGTTTCAGATCAGGCGTCAATTTTTTAATGGCATCCAGTCCCTCGCGGAGCCTGCTTCCGAGGATCCATACCATCCCATCCATCAAATGTCGCCTCGTCTCGCAAGTCTAAATCGGGCTCACCCAACTTAGTGTGGATCGTCACCGTTGTCCACTGTCACCACATCACCCACCTTCACATGTCAGAATCGCCGAACCCTGTCGTATAATTTACTTGCAAAGCAGACATATCAAAAAACTACAATTTGTTCATCGAATTTCAGTCTATTTTGCCCGGATTTTTCTTCGACTGACTCAGGGGAGAGAGGATTTTCAAGCACATGATTGATATTGTGCGTTGGGTGGGCTGTTCCCTCGTCAACATGTCCGTCAATGACATCCGGAAGGGTCCTGGTGGCACGCGCCGCCTTCGTCCAACGCTCCCGGAATCAGGGCGCTCTATGCATGTGGAAAACTTGCCATGCAAGTTTTCTTGTTGAGCCCAATTGCCCAATAGACGCCTCGTCCTTCAGCCATTTCAACAACCGGGAAAGCCAAAAAGCAGATCCCTCTCCCGCCTACTCTTCCGCTCCGTTGTACCCCGCCTAGCCTCCTCGTCGCAGCCGAATGTAGCATATAGCCGGTGTGCTCTGTTGATTCAATTGGCTCCGATTCACAAGGCTGACAGCGGCAATCTGTCTTTTGGTCCCAGGCGCAACTTGCCTCGGATGAACGACTTGCACATCATCTGTGATAGTGGCACGATGGCTGCTCGTGCTCGAAACAAAGGGCTAAGCGAGAACACGATGGTGATGCACACAACCAATTTCCCTATACCTCTTCCAGAGACGGCCGAGGGAGCACACCACTTAGTTGCAGAAGGCACATCTGCATACATCCCTCGGCCAAGCAGCTGCATCTTTCAATGCAACACCCCGACCTGTTCTGCCTATAGCGCCGCGGGACGGTGGCCAGCTCCACCATCTGCAGGCTGTGTTGGCATTCATTCATGTGGCTAATATAGCAGACAGCTTCTCTACTCTCTGTATGGCTGTCAGCATGACTGAATGCACCATAACCAGAGGACTCGTTTTGGGGGCAGAAGACCCCTGCATTTTGTGACACTTCAACTTGCATGAAGCTGGACCATATCCTTGCAGGTATTCTCCGATATTTACATTAATCTATCCTGCATACAGAGAGCAGCATGGGAGCTTTCCGTGACAAGGCCCCATCACGGGCGGGCCGGATGACATCGTGCCCCCGAACCCGATCAGAGCAACGAAGCCCTTACGAAGGCTACGTGACATGAACCCAACCAAGCACGCAGTGCAGATCTCCCTGGTCAGGACAAAAAGAGTTGGCACTGGTCGCCTCTCTAGGAAACGATGGGCAACCCAACCACTGCGGCTCTGGTCGATTGAAAAGGTTCCCCCGGGCTCTCCACGATCAGCTCTCCATTTCACTTTTCCTAGGCGCAGTTAACGCTGCTACTATAGTAGACGGCACGCAAGATTCGTTCCTGGTCGGGCGGCCCTTGAGTTTTCTATACTGCCCCATTGGCGGCACGGCGCGAGGGTGGCATACCCCTCGGGTCACTCTCTTGATAATGGTTAGTCAACCCCGCAACCATCCAAAGGTATTCTGCCCGGTCCTGGTGCAGAGACCTCATCTGTACTTTCTGCCTGGCAAGGCGGCGTTGGGATGGACGACTCTGTAATGCCTTGTCAGAGCGGATGGTCTGACAAATGTCCGCTCCTCGACGCAGAGCTCGCATTTGACCTTTCTTCTCGGCTCGATGTGTACAATGTCCTGATGACGCATCAGTCGATACCCCGATCTAAACATGGAATTACAGCCCTCGTAGGGGCAGATAAACGGGTTTATGAGGCTCTCTGAGACTAACGGCTCCGTCGGGCATTTACTGGCTTCGATGCTCGCTGCCGAGGCGGTATGATCGCGACTGTTGACGGCATCGTCTAACGGGTCCATTATAGGATGCGTGAAGCCACTCTTCTCTTCGACTCCCCAGTGGCGAAGCACCTCCACTGACCAGTCCTCCATGGTGCATGAAGAGCCGTTGTTGGGATTGTTAAACGTCCGAAAGAGTGTCCTCCAGTCCGGCGACGCAAGAAAGCAATGCAGCATCCACCGGTCGATTCGGTCAAAGAGCGAGTCGTCTGGCGGAATTCGCGGAAACCATTGAGGCTTGACGTACATTGGAAGTAGGGTCATGTTACTCTGCAAGAGAATTTATATGGTGTTGTTGTCTTGCAGCCTATGCTGTGTCAACAGGTGAAGCCTGGCTGTCAGGTGGGATGTGTATGCCACGCGCATCTTGGCGCTCAGCTGGCAGCTTCGGCAGTTGGCGAACCACGGGCTCGGTCGAGTGATGAAGTGGCCATGCGCGAACGGCGGCGGCGGCGGATCGTTGTCGTCTTTTGCATCTGCGAGGCACCCCAGCGCGAGCTGCAATCTATGTGCGTGCTCTGTCCACTCGTTGCTCTGCGATGACAGGCCTGGTAGGAGCTCTGATACGGTAGCTTCCTCGACAAGTATGGCTGCTCTGTACACAGCCTCGGCCAAGTTTGGATCAGCCGAGGATTCGCGTTTTCGGAAAGCTGCTGCGATGCCAGCCATATCAGAATCAGCCATTGCATAACTGGCGGTTGAGTTACCGTCCACATCGGTTTTCACTCGCCACTGTCCCTGACTCTGTAGGGGATGGCAGACTTGTGTCCGCAGCAGGGTCGCCGGGGACGGTGCCTGCTCAGCCCCGTAATGAGACCCTCGCGTGCTCGTCAGGTCTGGCTGCAGGCTTTCTGGAGGTCGCGGACGCCGCGAGCAAATATCTGAAGCTTCTTGCGCACGGTCCTCAGCGCCCACGGTTCTCCAAGCGTTGGCGCCTGGCCGCACTGGTGCTGGAATACATGGGCCGCGAAGTCGGCCGCGGATCCGTATGTCTGGTCTAAGTGACAGCCGCCAAAAGAATGATTGTCCACCAGGTGTCTGCCAAGGGCCACGGCGTCGACAAATATGCCACCCGTGAAACGGCCGTTCTTAGCGATCTCGCAGAACAGACACCGGCTCTCAACGCTAGAGAGCTGGTCGATCCCGAGCACATTCGAGCACGACCACGCCTCTTCCGGTGGCAGCTTTGCCACAGCATGAGGCATGCCTAAATTGAAATTAACACCAGCGGGAGCTCAGGTAAGATCATTTTGGGAAGAGGCGGGGGAGACGAACGGCTCGATAGCCCAGTTTCCCACTCACAGTTGGCCGTCGCATCTTGCTCTGGAGAGGGCAACATCGCTTGCTCCCAGTGCATGCTGCCTGGGCTTGGGACCGGCATACCTGCCGGCGAATGGCGACCCATTTGCGGGCTGACCCATACCCCGGCTGGCGAGTTTCAACCGCTGTTTTGCGGCCACGAGCCGCCACCACCGGAGAGCTGCGACGCAATCGTCGAGATGTTATGCGCCATGCTCCGCATGAGGTCCATCTGCTCGTCGTGACTATCTCTACGAGTCGTGACTGTCTCTACGGGCCGTGTCCAACATCGCGAGCGCCGCCCCGAACGAGGATTGCTGCAGTTGTTGACTCGACTCCGTGCTGTGATAAGACCGGAGCAGGGCGTCGCTTGCAGACGCGATGCTGTCAAGCTGGTGCTTGATATCCCGACTAATTGTCAGATTCTCATGCGCAGTAGAGCTAAAACATCCCAATTTAGTAAATTGCCTCTTGATTTAGGCTACACCTGGGTGTACGCACAGAGTCAACCTCGATAACGAGTTTCCAATTGCCTATCTATAGTCAGTGATCCGGACGGCTATCTCGTAATAGATCTTTGTTCGTCGCGATTTTCATCTTGCGGGCAAACTCACGCACATCGGACCATACGCTAAAATTAAGTCTATGGCGGGCTGCGCTCCAGGCCGCGACATCTTGCTCGCACAGCGTCACGCGCCGCTCAAGCACCGAAGCGACGACTCGGTGGTCCCAGACAAATCGCCGCTACTTGCTCTCATATCGCACGTCCCTGAAGAACCGCCTGCGCCGGGCGATGACCAGCTCGCAGAGGAGGGCGGTAGCATTCCCTGAGATGCGGGAGTCTGCAGCCGAGGCGGGAAGGGCGCATTGTGGCGTGATTGCCGCAGCAGGCGCTCAACTTCCTGCAGTGTCGACACGAGGGACTCGAGCTCGAAGTTGAGTGTGTTGACCTTGGTGCTGGCCACTTTATACGCCGCGAAGAAGGCCTTGAGGATGGTGAGTCCGGACACGGCCTGCCCAGCGAGGCCACCGATGGCCAGCGCCAACCCGGCGACTTCCATCGTTTCTTGTTCAGCGTTGAAACCATGCACTCGTAGGATATTTCTTTGATGTAGGATAAGAAGTTATTAAGCATCTTTGGAAGGGACCTTATTACAGCTCATGATACTTGCAGAGTGCCCTCGTGGCAGCAAGAAACTCCTGCTTAATAAAAATATTGGTCAAAAACTTTTTTCTACCATAAATGAACTGCATATAATCGTAGCGGACGTGCAGATTCAAATGCGTTGCCGCGATGTATTTGGTATAGGGTAGCTACGATAACTAGGATGTTGCAAGAACAAGCTGCGTATCCTTGCTTCTGCGACGAAAGCTGGAGCGTGCCCGGGGTTGTACTGTTTGATATGCATACCGTCAACACTTCGGAAGCGCTCGAGTGACTGTTATTAGACGACAGAACTTTTTGACATCGGGCTTGATATGTCCACTCGGCGCGAGTGTGAACTGTGTAGGGCAAAAAGGAGCTCTGCGTACAATCCATAGAATAGCAGCGCAAACGAGAGCGTAAAACGAAAAATTTGCACGTTGCTCCTTTAAATTTTCATGTGCAGTGGCGCTGGCAAGCTTATTGCAGGCACTCAAAAGTTACGGCGGTGAGCGAGCTGACCAATTCAACGACAGCATCGGAAAAGCAGCATTGGGCGCCGGAGGATACGTTTGCCATCGTGTTAGCCGCGCTCTCCTTCACCGCATCATGCAGCCTTCCTTCCATGGGGGCTGAAAAATTCTCCGTCCGAAGGTTTTTTTTTTCTACAGCAGGACACGCGGGACTACCAATGTTGCTTCTGTAGAATCCCTCGGTGGCGGGAAGACCAGTGGAGATGTGGGAATCTGCTTGGATGCTGGATGCCAGAAAGCATAAACATGCGCCATCGGATAGGACCATGGGCAGGACGAGAGATATCATACGAGTCTCCCAATGCCTGTTGGGCCAACAAGTAGGCGGTGAGTTGCATGCGGGACCGGTGTAAAAAACAATAGAATAATAATATCTGTTCGCCGCCTTTCTTCCGTTATATGTCGTTTCGAATGTAGTTCGAGGGTATAATAACAGCGGGAATAAGCAAGGGGGCTCGCCATTGTGGCGAAAAAAAAAGTTTCGCCCGTGCCGAAAATCAAGATTTGATCAGGACTCATAGGATGTCTCCGAAGGTCTCGCCACACGCGACGGAAAGAGGTAATTATAGGTTGTGCACAGCCGACGCGGTACAGTTTGTTTGATGTGCCGCGGAATAACTAGATAGAATGTCTTGAATTCGAAGGGAGATGAAGCAGGATCATCCTGTGCTAGACAGCCTTGTTGAGTTGGGTTGAAAGGCGGACCAGGTTGGAGGAGCTGGCTGGTCTTTTCATCCCTTGGCTGAGGTTGGCGCCACGGGGCGAGAAAAAGGAAGAAACGAGTTGCTTGGCACAGGCATTGGCCAATGGGCTGAAGAAGGAAAAGCAAAAATTGAAGACGAAAAAAACTACAAGAAAAATAAAATAGCAGCGGTCTGTGATGAGACACAGAGGTAAAGATGGAAAAAGCAAAACAAGCTCCGATCAGCCTGGGGATGCAACTCGCGTGGCACCTTTGCTGGAGCAGGTTTGCGACAAGCATTGATAAATAGGCGCCCGCTTGCAATGTTTCGATTGAGATGGCCGATCTGGACTGCTCCGGACGACTGATTCAGCTGTGATGTGCTTGTGATTCCAGCCGCTACACCACCGGCCGTATATTAAGTTATACCGAAGAGGCTGTCTTGATTTTCCTTCCCTGTTATCGCTGCCAAAGGCATTCTCAGTAATTCGTAGAAATTCTGCAAACAAGCGAAATTGCTGGCGATGCAAGATGTGAGGAAGCTCATTAGTAAAGAATGGGGGTTCACTGGTGAGTTTTTGATTTGTTCCTTCGTTTCGGAGGGACCTTCTTTCATGCAGCAGGGTGACGTATACGCGGACTGCTGCACGTCAAAGGCAAATTACATTTCGTGACGCCCGAAAGGTGAGGCTGGCTTGCAGCGTGGGTGGGCTCGGACCTTTTCATGCCTTTCGCTGGCCACAAGCGGGTACGGCCGTATCATGCGAGGACAGGTTGATGACCCAAGCATGTTTTTGTAAGTGATCGTCATTCGAGAAGTTGCAAGCCTGGCCAGATGGGAAAGGGCTCATCGGCAGCTGATAGGTGTGTTGCTGGCGGGGGAGGGGGGGAGAGAGTGAGAGGGCGGTGTTGGTGGGTGGTCAAGGCGACGGCAGTGCTCTCCTGACGGCACTGGACCAAGCGATTGCCGAGGAAAAAAAAAGGCAATTAGAAGAGTCGCAATGACACGATCCCATTGGCTTGTACCTGTGAGTGTCCGTATGCGCTCCTTGAATGAGTTATTTTTCGAAAGGCGCACTCGCCACAACACCAGCGCATTGCAAGAGAGCAATTAACACAAATCTCAGTCGACGCCTTTCGTCTCGTTCTCGATGAGAGACAATAGTATCAATCCAGTAATAACGCACCCGCTTGAAACGAACCGGCCCGTAGGCGGCACATGGCAAGGTAGGGAGACTAGCGACTGGGCATGCTGGGATCTGGGCGAGCTAGACTGGGATCTGAGGCGCTAGCCATTTCTTTTCCAGGTTACCCCTGGACCAGGGGCAGCGCGATTCTGGTTCTGGAGTTGCAACACCAACAAGCTGCTGACGGGCAGCTGCAGGAGTTGCAGGCGTTGCAGGAGTTGCAGGCTCTGACACCCTGCTCTGTTGCTGTGCTGGTAATTTGCATGCTGCATATGTAGTGGCCTCGTACTGGTAGTAATCTGTATTGGTTAGGCAGGGTCGCGTTGATCGCTGCGTGCCTGCTTTCGCTCGAGCGCAACCAGATTGCCATCCTTTTTTTGGGCCTGCGATCGGCTGGTGTGTGTCGTCTTGACACACTGGCTGTTCCCGCCGCCATCTCCAACACACTAACTCTACATGTCGAAACGACTAAGTTAATTCGGGTTGCGTAGAAGACTGAATGGGCGAAGCTGACTCCAAATCGCACAGTTTGTTTGAGAATCTTCCATGGACCAGCTGAAGAGCACTGAATTAGCACTTGTCCGTATGACGAGCAGACTATTGGCGCCATCACCTGCATTAGTATCCGTACCTGGATAGCGACGTCACAGCAGTAGCGGACCTCGATAACGAGCACCATCAAATAGTCTGTAATATTGCGACGATATCAATTCAATGTAGGGATACTTGACCGACAGGTGTTGGTGGGGTTTTGGCATTGAACATGGCCAAGAACCAACGCCGAGAATGTTGGGAATTAATAAAGTTGCTCATCGTGCAGGTTAAATGCGTGACGCGTATCGCAGATGGGCTGCAGATGATTCAAGTTTGAAATATATTGCGCGTGGTCTGCCTCCTCGTTTTATGCAAGTTGATGCAGAGGAGACGTACGAATATTAGGTACCAGGTCTCGCGCGGGGCCTCCACTCGTCGTCTGTGTCTGTTTGCTGGCGGTTGCTTTCTTAGTAAGGCGGCAACGGCAGCTGGCAGATATATCCGTGCAAGCAAGACAAACGGACGAGCTTCATCATCAGCAACTGGTCAAGGATACTCCGCACAGTACTTTTATCGGTCGCCCCAAGTTCAATATATAGCGGGCAAAGAGTTAAAAGAAGCGAGAAGGGCTTGGCTGCAACCACTAACAATATCCAGGTACCAGGTACAGGTACTGGAACAACTCAACGCCATCGCAGGTAGGGGGCAAGCCAGCAACCCACATACAGTAAGTAGGGTGCTGATTGTGCTTTCTTTTCAAGAAAACACGGCTGCCAGTCCTTCCTCTTCATACACAAGTCTTCTTCCTTCCTTCTTCGTTCTTCTCTCCCGCTGCGGAGAGACGTGTCACTTTTTGCTTCTTCGCTGATATGTCTTAGTTAGCAGTCTGCTGTCTGTTCGTCCGCCTTCCCCACCAACCCGGGCGGACATTGACGAACAATTTACTTTGTTCAGCGCCCTGCTGATGAAGGACTGGCTGGACTCAAGAGCCGTGGAGTTCAATTTGGTCTCTATTCAAGAGGCCCCTGCGCGGCGCCACAAGCGCCTCACTCTAGCGGCCTGGTGCTAGGACTCTGGCCAGAAACTTTGCACCAACCGAGTACAGAGTACAAGGCGGCTTCCAGCTTTGCGCACTCTCCTTTTTCGCCCCTATACTGCGTACGCTCATCAATGGCTGGCCAACTGGAAGAAGGGTGGGCTGAGTTCTTGACCAATACTCTGTAATCAATACTGATTGCTGCGGCGCGAAAAAGGGAGCCCAAAGCCATTCGCAAGGCAATTGCAACAGGGGTAACCCAGGCTGAAACGATGATTTGCACCGAATCAAGCTGCCTGTTAGCTCCACCACCATCACTTGGTGCGCTGCTCAAGACTGGACTGCAAATCCTCACCTACCACTCGCTATCAGCCGTGGAGGGCGCTGGAGCCGGTACGGATATCTTTCCTGGGGTGTCTGGGGGCCGACGCCACTGGTCGTCCTCTCTTCTCTCAGGAAGCCTGCTCCCTGACTGTTATCCGCGAAGAGGCTAGTCATGAGTTTAGGCGGGCCATAAGAGCCAACCCCTGATGAGACCAGCCAACTATTGGGCCCGGATCTTCCGCCTGCTGCAGCCTTTGTCAGGCCCGCTCCCAAGCCTTGTCGCTTTGATTTGTACATGGTACCAGTGTGCCACGGCATTGTCGTCCTGGCCCCCTGGTCCGTCCACTCCCAGTCCTAATATCAACCGTGCCACCGCCCTCACCCTTCCAACTCATTTGTCTCTCTCCCACCTAGGTGTCAAATGGCTGGATAGCAACTGGTACCAACCGTCTTTCCAGCTTTTCAATCTGGACCAGTCTACGGAGTAGCCCTCCAGAGTCCCGAGCCGAAGTAGAGCTTCACTCACTCACCATGCCTCCGTCTCTCAGCGCTCACCCGAGCTTCACGCGCCCGCGCACCGGCGAGCGGGAGGGCCGGCCGCTCACTCGCGACCAGACCGGCGACACCATGCTCATCCCCAGCCGAACTTCCTCGCTTCACTCTCGCATCACCCAGCCGATCCCCTCGAGTTTCAACGCCAAACCCCAACAGCGCACCCCAAAGACTCTCACGCATGCTTACCTTGTCTGCGGTGTTGGCCGCGAGCCCTCACAATGGGTCAGAGCCCCAGCGCCTGTTCAGGGAAAGATTGGCCACATGAAGGGCGCTGTCAGCCAGTTCTGGCTGCCGGAGATTCTGGGGAGCAGTCCTCGCCTGGAGCAGGACAATGAAATCGCCAGAGCTCTCCATGCCGCTATGAGGGTTCGTACATGGAAACTATAATCTCAGACGCCAGTATCTAACACTGACTTTTCAGGCTTGCTTCCCCCACGATGTTGAGATTTGCACCGGCCGTAGCCAACCTCACTGCTCGCATCATTCTTTCGTCCTGCAGCAGGACTCATCGCAGACCCTTTACGGTATCTGCCTGCGTGTGTGGTCTCGCGCTGACGAGAAACGAGCTGAGACGATCCGTGATCTGCGCAAGCGAACTGAGACCGACTTCTACGATAACCCGGATGAGACGTACTGGATCCCGTACTGTCTCTCCTTCCTTTCCCGATACCCTCTGTATAACCTCCTTGGCGATTACCTGCGTGGCATGTGGATTCACTGGAACAAGGCAACGAACCTCTTCCACGCCGAAGAAGTCTCGCGTATTCTCAGCTTCCCGGCGCCCCGACTCAACGACCTTGTCCGTATCGACATGAAGGATTACGCGCTCTGCTACCAATTCCCCTCATCACCCACTGGATTCCAGAATTTCGCCATGTGGCCGCTCTTTAACTGTCTGTCTATTCCCAATATTGTCGGTGTCATTGAAGCTGCCATTTCACCTACCCGCCGCATCATCTTTGTCAGTCACTATCCTGCCATGCTCACTGTTGCGGCCGAGACTGTCCGATATTGTGTGCGAGTCTACGAATGGAGTGGCCTTTACGTTCCTGTTGTCCATGCCCGCCATGCCAGTGAGCTTGTTCAGGAGCCGGGGCCTTATATCCTCGGCGTCACTGCTGAATGCCGCTCGCTCTTCAACGCGCCCAACGACGCTCTCGTCGTGGACCTTGACCGCAACTTTGTGCTCACTTCCAGCCCCCCTACCGCACTCAGTCCCGGTCAGCGTAACAAGTTCGTGACTCGCTTGACCCAAGCGCTCAATGGCGATGTTGTTCCCGCTGGTGTGCCGCACCACCTTCGCTCTGCTTATGGTGGTGGTAAGCTTGTACCTGCTGGCCAGATTATTGTCATGCGCGGCGAGGTTGAGTCCATTCAGGATCCAGAGTGGTGGAACCAAGACTCCGTCATGGCTGTCATGGACCACGTCTGTGAGAAGCTTGGCCGCAACACAGGTATCAAGGCTGTCTTTGGTGGTTCGGTTAAGAAGCCGCTCATGACCAAGGTTTCCATGAGACATCTGAACGAGATTGTGCGAGAGCGTAACCAATATTCCCGTGACGCTCAGGAGGCTTGGCAGGATTTCATCAACCTGAAGGGCCGTATGGACACGGAGCTCAACAAGGTCAACAAGCGCAACAACTATCTGGTTGAAGAGCTTGAGAGCTGGAAGCAACAGTTCCTCAAGTTTCAGGCGTTTGCTGAGCAGCTCACGAAAGAGACTCAGGATCTCAAGGTCAAGATCGAGACCCACAAGCGCGAGAACCGCCGCCTTGCAGGTCTCATTGACCAGCAGAAGGAGGATAACGCGCGCATGTCGACCCGCCTCAGCGGCACCGAGAAGCAACGCGATGATGCCCTCGAGGCCCTGGTACTTCAGCAAGAGATCGCTGAGGAGCTGGAGCGTGAACGGAAGAAGAACAAGAAGGAGCTCTCCCAGCTGCAACACACTAGCACAACACTTGTGCGCCAGCGTGACGAGGCTCGCCGTGTTGTCCTTCACCTTCGCAGCCTGATTGGCGGCCAGAGCCACCACATGGAGCACCTGATTCAGTCGCTCACCAAGCCCGACGAGCTGGTCAAGGAGATTGAAGAGGGCTTCTACGACGATCTTCCCGGCGACGAGGAAGAGAGCACCGAGGGCATGACCGAGGAACAGACGCAGTCTCTGAGGCTGTCTCGCAGCGCCAAGAGGCTTTCGGCCGCCAGCTTCGCCGACGTCGCTGACCGCCACCTCAAGGATAAGACGGACGCGATTGCGCACATTGTTCGCAACATTGCGGATCAATGCCAGGCTGCTGTCGAGAGCCTGCAGATGGCCCAGGATGCCGAGACGCCGTCTCGCCGCCACAGCAACCTGCCCAGTGCCGCCCAGAGCGACGACGACAGCCACTCGGCTGCCACTTCCGAGGTTGGCGAGGAGAGGCTCCGTCGCCGCTCCGGCCGGCCCTCGAGCATCCCCCCCACGCCCGACCTGGTGCCCAACCGCAGCAGCACCGCCATGTCGTTTGTCTCGTCGACGACGACGCCGGAGCGCAACAGCGCCCAGTACTACCAGCAGCGCGAGGACGTCCCCACCAAGATTGTCGAGGACGACGAGGAGGAGTTTGAGGAGGCCCGCAGCGACAGCGCCGCCGGCAACGAGCAGGGCGTCGTCGCAAAGCACAGCGACTCCCTGCTGCACAGGCCGTCGGGCGCTCGCATCAGCGCCCTCGGTGGTACTCGTTAAGCGGTTATCACAAGGAATATCGGCTATGGAAAATGACAGGTTTGGACATTTTGCTTTTTATCACTTTTCTTACTACTTCTTCTTGTTCTCTCTGGCAAGCTTTCTCCCGGACGCGTCATGATGGCGGGCCATTATATATCCTCTTGCATTGAGACTTTTTATTTTGGGTGTATATATAGTTTTTCGTGGCTATATGTATTTGGCAGGCGACTTTTTGGATTGTCTTTTTCTTTTGCTGGGCACTTTTTTCTCGTCCTTTTTAAAGGTCCTGCGACCTGGGCGTTCTTTTTGACATTTTAGTCTGTTGTATCTATTTGTATCTACTTACCGACGACTTAGCACTGTTTGTTTTTTATGTAGGAGACAGTTAGTATGACTTAATATTGATTCGACTTCAATAATGAAGGGTGCTCTCAGCGTAGTTGGTCGATTTTGCAATGTGCGAGCACCGAAGGTACCTACCTGTGGCGTCGTGAAGCTGCTGTTGTTAAGGCTAGCGCTAAAGAGGCCAGCGATGGCAGTGATGATCGTGACGATTAGTGATGATAGTGGCGATAGCGATGATAGTGACGATAGAAGATCCAGCCAGTGATCAAGGGTTTTATCTTTCTCAATTTCTTTTCTAGTTTCCACATTTTCTGTCTTTCTCTGTTGTTACTACCAATTAACTCCCTATCCTGCCTATCCTGCCTACCACTCCTGATCCTCCTGATCCTCCCGATCCTCCCGATCCTCCCTATGCCTTTTTAACCGAAGCCGATGAGCTGAGTGCTCTGGCCGCAGGTTTGGCCTGCCCCGTGCCCGTGGCCAGCGTCGAATCTCTCAGCTGAAGCATGAAGCCGATGAGACGACGAACCAGATGCTCCATGTGTGCTGCATCCTTTGTGATGAACGGGCCAAATTGATGCATGATCAGGAACTCGTCCGCCGGCGGGAGGTTTCGCCCCGTTGGCGTCTGCGATCGAGTCGTCATGCGCGTCGGCGGCGGCGGCTTGTTAGCCGCCGCCCCGTCAACCCGCTTGTGTGATCGGACCTGATTCCCGGTTTGCGGCTTTGCCGGCGCCGGCCGGGGACCCGGCCGGCTCTCCGTGGGCCGGCCCCTCCCCTCAGGCAGCGTCTTTACCTGCTCGTTGTACGAGCCGGAACCCTGCGCCCGGCGCTTGTTCGCCTCGGCGTCGAAGTCGGGGGACCTCTCGACGGGCGCTGTACCCCGCAAGCTGATCTCGCCCTGGATGTACCGCTGATACTCGTCGCCGTACTCGCCGATGATGATGTAGATCTCGTGGCGATTGTGGGAGACCATCAGCCGCCTGTACCTTCCGGACTTGGACCGCTGCAGCAGCCCCTCCTGGCTGTGCCCGTGCTGTGCGATCCAGCAGGCCATCTCTGCGGTCTCCTGGCGAAGAGTGCGTTCCGCGTGCTGGACTCGCACAAACGGCTTGGCTTCGCAGATGGCCAGAGGTATCTCGGAAAAGTTTGAAGACTGCCCATCCTCATCTTGATCCTCATCTCGACGGCAGAGATATCCATCAACCTGGGCCTGCATAAGCTCGGTCTTGGTCCCCTTGATGAAATTCTGATTCTTCCTGCTGTTAGGCTTGCTGGCAAGCAGATGCAAGCCCAGTCGCGGCAGGATCCAGTTGAACAAAGGCACCTCGGCTGAGATTTCCTTTCTGACTTCCTCAAGTAGGAAGAGGAGCGCCGTGTTGGGGTACATTTCATCTTTTGAAGGATGGTTGTAGTCTGACTTGGCGGCCATATGGAAGGGCTCGACATAGGGTGTACCGTGGGGCCCCATTTTGGTCTCATCGGACTGAGCTGTTTTCAATTTCATGTTCTCAAATTTCGCCCGCAGACCGTGGATAGCACTGCCGTCGCCATCATCGTCGTCGGCTGGAGAGTACCCTCCTTTGAACACATTTCCCTTGAAAGGGGTATTTTGAGATGGTTTGATGTGATAACAGGTCATTTCCTGCAAGAATCGCACCGTTTCCCATCCGCCACATTCGATATCCGTGGCAAGACCCAAGTCATTTCTGATGGCTTCCAGATACCTTGTCCAAAAGCGAGACATCTTGCTGAATAGTTCAGCTGCTTTAACATCATTGGCTGGCGACACGTAGCCTCGGTATTCTGTTTTGTCGTTGTCGCGATAAAGGTAATCCATGAGATCCAATCCCGATTTGATATCCCAGAAGGCGCGAAGGTGAAGAAATTCAGAAGGACGAATGTTGGAGCCAGACTCGTATGCAGTCTGCGCCACGTGCATGAGCTTTTGGCCACTCTTGACGGCAGAGTCAATAAATTCCTCCCGCTGAACCAGCGCAAGCCATTCCTCGACCGACTGAGGGATGCTTGCCGGGATCTGGGACTGTTTGTCCATTTTGTTGGACTTGTCAGACGAAGAAGACTGAGCGGACGAAGAAGAGAGTAGACGAAGAGTAAAAGACGGGGGAAAAAGAATTTAGTAGAGTTGAGCTATGAAAAGAAACAAGAGGGATGAGTGATGGAAAGAGACAAGAGAGCTGGGTTATACGAAGAAACAAGAGAGTTGGGTTATAGAAATTAACGAGAGCCGGGTGAAGTGATGTAAAGAAACAGGAGTTGAGTGATGGAAAGAAACAACAAGCAGAGGTACGCCGGGCCTCTTTATGGTAAAATCCTGTGCCATGAAAATCCCATGAATGGACTGAAATGGAGGTCAAGTCAGAACATTGCAAGCGCCCTGGAGGAGAGCGAGAGCCTTTGGGCGCATCTAGGCAAAGTTCGCGATAGGCCAGACATGCGACCACGACACCACACTCGGACGGATGAGTTACATGAACGGGAGTGCTGCTGTGCGAGCTGTGAAGCCATAGCTGTGACGAATAGTGTACACCAAGAATAACAATAGTGCGACGTTTGGATAGCCTGCAGGCTGCAGGCCGCTCCTGCAGGTAGCCGGCAGCCAACCCTGGAGTACTTACCAACGGATTAGCCGCCGAAGGGATGCGGCAGTGACGGGCGTGGATAGGTACACAGGGGTAGCGGCCTGGAACGAAAAAGTGTTGGATATATGTCGTGATAATGTGTACTAAAGGAATAGAAAAAAAAACCATCTATTAAGCTGATGTGATGGACAATTGAGATCCAAAATCTTTGTGTAGCCGTACCACCATAGCCCGCGGTGTTGATTCTGTGGCACCAGCTGGGACTCGTTATCGGACCTGGATTCCTGCTCTTACGTACTGACGGAGTACAATGCTCCCTGATGATCCGTGACCCTGAGCGGCCCGTTCCTCCCGAAACATCATTATTGCAAGTTTGTCACGACCACGAGGCTCGCTGCGCCCCGTTGCGCGGCCTGCTCTCGCCAAGGCCCGTAGCCGCCCAGCCCTGCCTGCATCGCCAATCGTCAAGGCGGATCAAGAGTTTCGCCTATTCCTGTGATGCATCCAAGTCGCGTCATTTTTTCCCGGCGGAAACAAGACGAACAAGGCACCAATGCTACCGCGCTGCTCGAGAGCCAATCACTAACGGTGGGCCTCCTCTCTAGACAAACAAGCTAAATCAGCCTGCAACCGTCATCTGTGGCGGGCGCTTCGCCCCGTCTCCGTCAGGAGCAGCCGGTAAAGTCGTCAATGGCTGATACAACGTCTGGCCAACCGGTCCAGAGGCCATCCAGCGGAGCATGAGCCACGCATCTGGGGGGGGCTCCTCCCCGGACAGGTCGAGCACTCGGGACTGGCGGAGCACAAGCATGTTGCGCTTCATGTCAAAGTGCGCCTGGGTGAGGCGCGCCGTCTCGTTCCCAAAGTAGGTGCAGACGAGGACGGGCTTGACGAAGTGGTGGGTGTAGCAGGCCCCGTGAACCTGAAACTCGGTCATTCTCACGGCCGCCAGCACCTCGGACCGGATCGCGACCCCTTCCTCGGGGTGGCTCGAGTCGACCATGACGCAGACGGAATGCGGCTTGTCAGCCGCGGCCTCGACAAAGTACGCCCACGCGCCGCTGTACTCGTGCTTGCGGTATCTCCCGTTCCCGCGGAATTGGTACCATGGAAGTTCGAGGCCGATGCGCTCCTTGATCTCATCGTCCAGGCAGATCTTGGGGCGCTCCGGCTCGTCGCGACTGAGCAAGTGAGTCAGCATTTCTGCCCTTTTGGGTGACAATGCAGAGTGGACATGGGGCTCCAAGGCTTACACGGGCGGCCGCCAGACGTTCTTCGAGATGGTCTCAAGCGCCAGGAGGCGAGCTTTGGACCACTTGAATCGGTATTCTCCGCACATCAGGGGTGACCACAGCGAGGGCAGCCCGTCCGCACAGTCTATCCATCCCGCGCCCCAGGAACTGGGGTATGATTCCCATTCGAGGCTGCCCTGGGTCCAGTCGCACGGGCTGAAGAAGAGGGCGGACGCGTCGCGCGTCTCTCTGGCGCCCAAATTGTCGACGTCAAACGATGCGCCCCGACATATCCCTAAGGAATCGAGTTCCTCGTCCGAGACGGTCTCCCTCGTGTTTGCGAGGAGGCAACCGTACATTTTGGTGAGGCGCTCGAGCTGCGAGTGCTCTAGAGCGAGACGCGCCGGGGCGACCGCGTCCGTATCCAAAGGCTTAGCCAAGCACGCCATATTTTCCTATCCAAAGTTATTGCTGTTGCGATAACGCAAAAAGGATGCAGGTCTTGCAATGATGCTGTTAGATTCAAACGAAGGCGATTGAACTTATTGGGGTCCAGTTGGTAGGGATCATGCTAAGTTGGCGTTGTGTGGATGTTTTGCTTATTTACGACAACAGTGACCAGGTGGCCTGGCCATGTCGTCAGAGCAACGACATTGTGACGACGCGGGGCGTGACGAAGAGCTGCAGCATACATCTAGATTGTACATACAATATTCTTTCTTGAGTCGAAAAGCATATAATACGTATCAGATACCTACCCTCTGTCCTCTTAGGCGCGCTCGTACAAGAGTTGTTGTCGCAAGCCAGTGCAGGAGCTATTCGTATTGCCAGTGGTCAATTCGGGGCCACTGTTAATTAGATTAGCTAGTACGTCCATGACATCAGCTTGGGGCCACCACTCCGTCAGGGCATCAGTAATAAACCACTATTTAGGTAATAATTCCTAATAAAAAATGACAATTGATCGAGTACGAAGTGCCACTGGGCTGGGCGGGCTTAGTGGGAGGTGCTCTCAACGGATTCGTAGGTGGTATGTAGGTATGTATGTATGCACAACCTTCATAGGTACTTGATAAGGTAGTACTGAGTTGTACATATGTACATATATGCATACATGACATGGATATGCGCTGATAAGATAAGAGTGCGCGATACAACTTTTTTATCCAACAGCCATCGCAACAGGAACCTTTTGTCTTCTCCCACCTTCAACCTCAACCATAGACGTTCAGCATGGCCGACCCAATGCTGACGTCGCTTTGCGCCATCTGCCACGTCGCTCCGCCCAAATACAAGTGCCCGCGGTGCGGCCTGCGCAGCTGCTCGCTCAAGTGCACCACCAAGCACAAGGCCTGGTCCGCCTGCAGCGGCACGCGCGACCCGACCGCCTACCTTCCCCCATCGCGCCTGCGTACTCCGGCCGGAGTCGACCACGACTACAACTTCCTGCACGGCATTGAGCGCTCCCTCCAGCGCGCCGAGCGCGTCCTCGTCGACGAGCGCCACCTCGTCCACCCCGAGGAGCTGCGGCCCATGACCGTCCAGGAGGTCCGCTGGAAGGCGGGCCGCGATGGCCGCAAGCGCAAAGTCCTCGTCACACGGCTGCTGCGCGACGCCAAGGGCCGCCGTTTCGAGCGCTTCCTCGCGCAGAGGCTGCGCAAGCTCAAGGTCGAGGTGCTCTGCATGCCGACCGGAATGACCAGGCAAAAGGAGAACAGCACGACGCTCAATAGGAAGACGTCGAGGATCAATTGGCAGGTTGAGTGGTTTCTTATTGATGACGATGCAGAGGCTGAGGTGGCGCGAGCGGAGGAGGATGAGGCGAGCGAAGCGTGCAACGCGACGAGGGTCTTGTCCAAGGTCATGGACAATGTCCCGCTCCACGAAGCGTACCGGACGATGCTCGACGAACAGGAAGCCGCGAAGCGACGGCAGGCAAAAAAGGACGGCCGCACGATCGACGAAGAACCCATATACCATGGCAACTTCCCCAAGTCCCGATGCCTGCCGTCCCGTACAGCCATGCAGGATCCGCAAACTGGACTATGGTTCACCTGCACCGGGCCCAACGTCGAAACTTGGCCTCAGGAAAAACAGCTCGAATACCAATACTTCCTTGCCCAGCCGCAGACGCGGCGGCCCGACAAGCGTCTCGCCGTATCCCCTCTACAGACGACCGATTGCCTCCGCGACGTCCTGACCAATACGCGCGTCCTCGAGTTTCCCACCATCATTGTGCTGCGTAGCGGGACGGAATTACCAGAGTCATATATACTAGGACCCAAGGACTCGATATCGCCGATGGCAGCGCCAAGCGGAGGTAGCAAGCGCAAGGACGGCCCGGCTGGTGGTAAGGAGGCCGGCGACAGGGCAGCCAAGAAGCGCAAAAGTGATGACGTGGAGGAGGGTGAGGTGGACGAGTATGAGGATAGCGATGGTGGTGCGGGAGGGTTGGTCAAGGGCGCCGTGATTGATGAGCAGAGCATGGACGAGAACGAGGACGACGATACTAGCAGCTCTGGGTCACCGAGCGAATCGGAGAGCGACACAGACGACTAGCATATGGCGGTGCAGGAGCCGTGAACCGCATGCGATTTAAGGCGAAGGTGTTAAGGAATTTGTTTGTCTACTTTAGATTTTGGGCTATGCATTACAGGCAGAGCTGCATTGCATTGTACAAAACTTGTAAAGCTACAGTACGCACTTTCTAGTCCCCTAGAGGTGTAGATGCATATTGAATTTGGTTGGAAAAGCATAACTTGGCATAAACCAACAATTTAGCGCACCATGTTCATTGCGCTTGACTGAGCACCCTCGCACTATTACAAACTTATGTGACCGGAGGAAGCAATTAAAGCCACTGACTCTCGTGAAACATGGCCTTGGCTCGCAAGGATCGTCTCCTAGACGCCGTTCGTGATACTGCACTCCTCGTCCCACCACTGCTTAAACAGGCGCAGCCGCTCAGTTCGCTCACGCCCCATCTCGCTGCCCGCTCCCGTCTTCATGAGCGGCACTAGGTGCAGGAGCTTCTCGTCAAAGTGTTTTAGGGAGCCCTGCAGCGGCCGAGTCGTCTTGGCACCGCCATACGTAAATAGGCGACCGATGCCGACGGCGCCGATGGCGTCGAGGCGGTCGGCGTCCTGCACGACGGCGAGCTCCCGGTGAGTGAGGGCAAGGGCTGCCACGGCATCGGGGTCCCGGATCTCGCCAGTGTAGCTGACGCCGTGGCAGATGACCCCCACATCAGTCGCGAGGGAGTGGTCGGCGCCGAGGCTGGTGAGAAGCTCAAAGAGGACCGTTTTGGGGTCCTGGTCGGGCTGAATGTACTTGCGGTCCGCGACGTCGTGGAGCAGGGCGGCGAGCATGATCTTGCGGAGAGAGCACGTTTCATGGGTGAGCTCTCCGGATTCTATAGAGCGACGGTATATGCGGGCAGCGAGAGACGCGACGCGGACAATATGCTCCCAATCGTGAGAAGCGTCGAGCTTGCTCATAAAGTCGTACGAGTGAAGCGCAGCTAGGGAGACGAGCTCATCATCGGCAAAGTCAGCAAGGAACGAGGCATTCATGGCGATGTAGGATTGCGCAGTTTGAGATTGGCACTTCTACATTACCACGAGATTGCATCTCGATTGACGGCCAGTTTAAGAGCCAGCTTTTTACTGAGTCACGCCGAACTTGTATCATGCAGAAGACGAAGACATCGTGGGGTCGGGCAGCCGCATTTGCTGTACACCAGCCACTGGCGGCGTGGGGCGGCTCAACGCCACACGAGTTTGAGTGTGTAGTTGTGGCTGGAGGCCAACTCAAGTCAACCTACGATCAACAAAACACGGGGCCGGGAACCTCGATAACTCACGACATCACGAACTCAATTGCAATCAATAGCAGCAGGATAATACATCTCAGTCTACCCAGCACAGCAACCGGTGCACTCGACTGGCCTCTCGACGCACTCCGCATCATGGTCTGATCGACCTCGTGTTGCAGCCGCCCCCTCTGCCACGACCTAGCAAATACACGACCGCACACCACAGCCCCGTCATGGACGACACGCCGACGCCGAAGCTCTCGGAGCTGCTGCGGCACCCGGATGACCTCGACAAGATCCCCGGGCTCAAGCGCGAGTTCGCACGCAAGAAGGGTGCCGTCGACGGGCAGCTGCGCAGCGGCCTGCGGGAGCAGCTCGAGCGCACGCAGTCGGGCATGCAAGGGCTCGCCGACGGGCAGCGCACGGTGCAGCAGATCAAAGACGAGATGATGCACATTGACCGGCTGTGCTCCGAGTCGCAGACCATGATCCGCGACTTTGCCAGCATCAACCTCGTCTCGCAGGCGCACCGCAACTTTGGCGCCGTCGAGGCGATGCGGCGCAACCTCGAGGCCTTTGACGGGCGGCTCGTCGCGGTCGAGGCCATGCTGCAGGCCGACGACGAGGACCGCGAGGCCATGCCGAACCTGCTGCCGTGCCACTACGAGCTCACGCAGCTGCGCAACATCCGCGACGACGCCATGGAGCAGATCCAGCGCGCCGACGACCCCAGCCTCGAGGCTACGCTCGAGGACTACTTTGCGCGCCTCGACGACGTCGTCGACTGGTTCGACGAGCACGTCGGCCTGCTGGCGATGAACCTCATCAGCCTCGTCGTCAACGACAACAACGGGCTGGTGGTGCGCTTCGCGCTCATCATGGAGGCCGAGGAGCGAAGCGACCGTCGCGTGCGCGCGCTGCGCGACGCTCTCCGCGACCACAAGGAGATGGCCGTGCGCTTCCAGGGCATCGCCGATGGCGCCAAGAAGGAACGCGGCTACAAGGAAAAGTTCCTCGAGGCCATCCGGCTGGCCGCCGAGCAGCAGTTCGCGGCCGCGCGCGAGGAGTTCCTCGACGACCCGAAGCGGCTCGACAAGATCATGGCCTGGTTCTTCAACGACCTCAACGCCGTCCGCGTTGGCATGACCCCGCTCATGCCCAAGCGCTGGAACATCGCCAAGGTCTACGCCGACATCTACCACACCCTCATGCACGACTTCCTCGTCGGCATGGTCGACGACCCCGAGGCCTCGTCGGCCCACACGCTCGAGATCGTCGGCTTCCCCGAGAAGTACTACCGCAAGATGGCCAAGATGGGCCACGCGCAGGAGTCCCTCTCCCCGCACGTAATCGACAACCGCGAGGCTGAGCTGGTGCGCGACTTCCGCCAGCTAATCATCCGCTTCCTCGACGAGTGGATCGAGCGCATCTTCGCGCAGGAGGGGCGCGACTTCGCCGAGCGCAACGTCGAGGGCTCCAACCTCGACCAGGACGAGTACGGCTACTTCCGGACCAAGAACCTAGTAGCGCTGTGGCGCATGCTGCGGGAGCAGGTGGACGCGGCGGCGAGCTCGCAGCGCGCCGACGTCGTCGAGGGCGTCATCGACGCCATGTTTGCGCGCCTGCGCGCCCGCCAGCAGCAGCAGCAGCGCATGCTGGAGGAGGAGGCGCTGCGGTACGAGGCCGGAAAGGTGCCGGACCTCGAGGGCTTCCAGGCGCTGCAGGACTGGCTCGTCGCGACGGCCAACGACCAGATCGCGTGCATCGACGATGCCGAGGACGACGGCGCCGGCGCCGGCCCGCGCCTCGGCTACCTCTCGAGCTTCCGGCAAAAGTTCGAGCCGCACGTCACGCCGCAGTACCTGGAGCGCGTCGAGCAGGAGCTCGCCGCGCTGCGCGACGGCTATGTCGACTGCAGCACCTGGTGCATCAACCGCTTCGCCCAGCTCGTCTTCGCCGTCGACTTCAAGGCCGTCATGCCCGACTTCTTCACCCCGCGCTGGTACCCGGCCACCGCCATGAAGCAGATGGTCGTCACCCTCGACGAGTACGTCGGCGACTACCGCGCCGTCCTCCACCACTCCCTCGTCGACATCTTCATCGAGATCTTTGCCGACGAGCTGCTCGTCCGCTACTTGTCGTCCGTCCGCAACAAGGGCGCCAAGCTCCGCCGCGCGGACCCCTTCCGCGACAAGCTCTTCAACGACATCGCCACCGCGTTCGAGTACTTTGGCGCCCTGCCCAACCCGGACGTCGGCGCCTCCATCAAGCAGACCTGGCGCGTCACCGAGGGTTTCCTCGCGCTGCTGTCGGCGGACCGCGCGGCCGTGCCGGACGAGTTCGCGGCGCTCAAGGCCGCGTACTGGGACCTGCAGATCAGCTGGGTCGAGGCGGTGCTGCGCAGCAGGGACGACTTTGAGCGCGCCATGCTCAACGCCGTCAAGGCCCGCGCCGCCCAGGTCGAGGTCGTGCGCGGGCCTGAGACCATCATGGCCAAAGTAAAGTGAAAGAAGTAAGCAATGGAAGATTCAATAAATGACATGGAAGCCTGTACGAAGGGAGACAACGTTGGGTGTGTGGAGATTTGGTGGTCATGCAGAGCGAGATGATATTTATGATGCGCATTCAAGAAACGTCTACAGTGTTAGTTGGCGGATAATAGAGCGTTTTGACTTTCCTGTGAGGTACGGGTCGTGGGCTGATGTGTGAACTTGTGAGGTAAAGTAAAGAGTTACAAATTACTATAGATGACGTCGAATGACTGTATAAAAAAGCGCAAATGAGAGACCTAAAACAACTCCATATAAAACAAGACTGCAGTCATGGATGGAAAAGAAAAAAAGGTTAAAACGAGAGCAACGGCTCGCTCCTCCTCGGATCTCTACAGTATTATCGAGGGGTTTCGACCAGCCGTGAGTAATAGATGCTTTATCCACCCCATAGTTTTGAAGCCTTTTGCAGGGCGTGGAGATGGTCTTGCATTGGTGCTGAAGATCTAAGATTTGCTAGCAAGATAGTTGGCCGCCTGCAGAAAATCGTGTTAGCTGGTGGTGCGAGCAGCGGAACTCCTTTCACGTACCATTTCCAAGTTATAGTCATACTTCTCCAGCGCAGCAAGGGCGTCCGGTCGCGCATAACCCATGCCGGTCAGGCTCTTCAAGATCGGATCGTCGTGCTCTCCCTTGTCGGTCAGGGCACGCCCAACGGCAGCGGGGCGGTCGGTCGTCTTGCCCTCTTCCTTCGTGGCATCGGCGGCCGTGCTGCCAATCGGGTCGGCCGAGTCGAGGCCGGAAAAGATGGCGTCCCAGTCGTGCGATTCAGCCGCTTTGGAGTCGGCGCCGGCAGGGTTGGAAGGGATAAAGTCGAAGCTGCTTTCGTTACCAAAGGCACTGTGCTCACCCCTGGCTTGACTTGCGGGCGGGCTATCGAGCATGGGATTATAGTCCTCAAAGCCAGATCTGGAGATGTTGGCAAAGTCATCATCAGCAGAGCCTTCCTTTGCTTCCTCCAGTCCCTCAAAGTCATCATCTAGGTCATCAAATACACCCTTTGCCTGCGCAGCTGGGACGGGAGCCGCGGCTGCGGTACTTGAAGCAGATGGACCAAAGATATCGTCCACAGATGAGCTGTGAGTAGTTGTGGTAGGAGGCAGGGTTGTGGGAGAGATAGGCTCCTCTTCTTTGGAAACCTCGGCGGGCTTCTCCGTCTTTTCCTCGACGGGAGCGATGGCCTTTTGGCCGGTCTTGGCCTGCCCTGGGGAGGTGGGGGCGAAGTCGTCATCAAAGCCGCCCTGCTCGCTCTCAGAATCAGAGTCCTCGTCACGCTCAATCTCAGAGATGGGGGGGAATTCAGTGTCGGACGCCGACTTTGTCTTTGGTGCAGCGGCAGTGTCAGCAGGAGTAGTAGACTTGGCGGACGTGAAGGCTGCAAAGGCATTGTCAAAGTCAGCCTTGGCCTTGTCCTTGTCGTCGCCGAATGGTGCCGACTTTTCCTTGCCAGGGCTTGCAATAGCCTTGCCGTCGCCTGCAGTTGGAGTCTTTGCGTCCTCCTCTTTGCTGCCCTCTTCAGTTGACTTGCTAGTAGGAGCCGGCCCATCGGCAACTGAGCCATCGGCTCGCGAAGCTGGTGGTGAGACTTGACGAGAAGATGAGACAGACTCACTCTGACCGCCGAAAGGCAGGAAGCTAGAACTAATCTGACGTGACTCTGGTGGAGGGGGTGGATTATCCACGCGCAGAGTAGTCTGGCGACTCATGACAGGTGTGCCGCTGGGAGGAGTGGAATAAGACCCAGCGCTTGCAGTCGAGGTTCCGGTGGTCTGAGGTCGGAATGGGGCAGGGGCAGGTCCGGATGCGGCTCCGGAGGGACCGAAGATTTCATCTGTGCCGGAAGGGGTTGAGAAGACGCCCATGATGTCGGAACTAGCAGTGCGCTTGAAGAAAGGGTTGTTTCCACTCGCAGTCGAAAGCGCAGGGCTGGTGACACCAGCAGCAGCAGCATCGGTCACAGAGCTAGACTCGCCTCCACGCGACGTCTGCTCACTCGGCGCTTTGCTTAAATCAGCTGCTTCTGCCTTCAGTTTGTCACGCTCCCCTTCTGTGGTAAGAAGTTGCTTCTTGTTGATGGCTACCAGCCCTTTCTGCTGGCGAGCTTCCATTTTGAGCTTTTCAATCTGAGGTTTCAGCTGCGTGAGCTCGGCATTGGCTACCCGAATGCGCTCACGGAGGCTGGTGTTTTCCTGCTGATCGGATTGCAGTGCACTCAAAACTTGCTGTCGCTGGGCCTGGGCATCCGACAGGCTGCCCTCGAGAGTCATACATTCGCCTTGTAGTTTCTGCGTTTCGGCCCTGGAAGTCCGAAGCTGCTCCTCCAGCGCGCGTGTGTCTTGGGCTTCCTTTTCATAGAGCGTGCGTAGTTGCGCAAGTCTTTGCTGGAAGTTTTGCTTCTGGGTGTTTGTTTGGTTCAGGTCATTCTGAGTGGCTGTGCGCTTGGACTGCGTATCCTGCATCTGCGTGGAAAGTGTGCTGATCTGATTCGAAAGGTTGGCAAGCTCAGTGCTCTCGCTGCTGATATTCCTGGTCTCCTCGGGGTTGTTGTCAGCCAAAAGATCTTCGGAGGCAGGCGGCTGAGATGTAACGGGCGAGCCAGTGAGACCCCTGCCGAAGGACGAGCTGGGAACAAATGGTTTGAATGTGTTCCCGCCGCGGGTGGGTGAAGACGGGATAGCAGGGCCACCAGCAAAAGGGTCGCTTCCAGAACCGCCAGTGGACATGGGGTCCTGTCGTGGTGCGGGAGGCGCCGGTGTTGTGTCGAGGCCAAACAAGTCCTCCATGGCGGATTTTGGCTGCGGCGGCGCGGGTTTAGTCATAGGTGGCGGATCAAACGGCGAAGCGGCGACGGGAGGCTGGCGCGCCTGGCTTCGCATGCTAGGTGGGATAAGGTTGGGAGGCAGCGTAGTGGGAAGCGGCGTGGATGGGTTGAGCCTCTGCTGTCTGATGAGGTACATGGCAACGGCGAACTCATCGCGGTTCAGCTGGCCCTGTGAATTCACATCGGCCAAGTCCCAGATCTGGGCCAAGGCATCTTCAGAAAGATTGGACTGGCTCAAGAAGGGAACGGCCTCCTCGCCCGTGATGTAGCCTTTGCTTGTCTTATCTAGAGTAGCATAGAGCTGGTCGAATCTCGCCTTGTCGGCAGAGGTCACAAGCCAGTCGCTGCCTGGTTGCGGGCCAGGTCCAAGAGGGCTAGCCGTGCGGTGCTGCTGACCGGAGAGGCGGGGAAGACCGGCGTTGCTAGTACGTGGCGACTGTCTTCCAGGACCACGACCAGCGGCGACTTCGAGAATAGTAGGAGGTAGGACTGTAGGAAGTGTGCGAAGGGCGCCAGAGTTTGTCGACGTGAGAAGGTGCATCGCGACAATGAACTCAGGCGCAGAGAGCGCGCCGCGCTGTTCGGTATCAACAAGCGCCCATATGCGACCGAGGGTCTCGTTCGGAAGCCCGGATCGGTCAAAGATTGAGCGAGCCTGCTCTCCTGGGAGCAAACTGCCTTGGAGCGGCTGACGGTCGAATAAGGTCCTGTATTGTGTAATCTTTTCTGGCGTCAGTGGCGGGATGCGAGCTCCGGCCGGGGAGCCGGAGTGCTGGGCCGTTATGGGAGAGGTAACTTGAGGCGGCGCATAGCCATCGAATCGAGGTAGAGGTCCAGGCTGCAGGGCAAGTTCTGGCGTTGGCTCGGAGCCGGCCTGGGCATGGCCGATGAGGCGCAACACGATGCCGAAGCCGGTCGGCGTGAGGAAGCCTCTGTTTTCCTTGTCGGCGATTTGCCAGATCTAGGGCGGAGGGTTAGTAGATATTCTAGCTGGATTTATTGTCGGACATGGTAAGCGCGGACTTCTCCTAGGACACGGGAATCGAGACGTGTTTTGTCGAAAAAGGTGACGGCGACGTCGCCAGTGACAACACCAACGCCATCAGTATCTGCCTGGCGGAAGAGCTGGCCATAGAGTCGCTTCTCGTCGGGAGTCAGGTTGAGGTTCGGCTGGGCAGCTGCGTAGAACATTGTCAATATTGCGGGAAGCTCTGTCAGGAGAGGAGTGAGGGATCAAATACCAGAGCTGGGGCCCGCGTCGGCCGACATGTTGGGCTGCAGTCGGGTGGAAGCTCGTCGCTGCAATTGGAGGAGGTGGGGGGTTTGCAGAGGTGACGTATCAGGGGTGGAGGATGCGGCGGGTAGGAGGGAGCTGCAGGTGCAAGAATGGCTCTCGAATGAGGTTGCAGATTCTCTTTCACCAATGGCGGCAATGCGCCATGCAAGTCGAGCGACTGGGATGTCGAGAGCTGTGAGGGAGGTGTGAAAGGCCGAAGGGCTATTCGGATGGTACGTAACTTCAGCTCGGCGGCTGTTGGGAGGCTGGAGGTTGGAGTTAGCGCCTTGGGCCGTTTGGTGGCTGTGCGCTTCTTGTGGCGCACCGAGGAGCTTTTTACGAAGGAGCTTTATGGGGATGGTTGGCAACGTTGGGTCTTGAATCCTATCGAATTCTTGTTGAATCTGGATTTGAATTGGATAGGTCTCTTCCTTAATTATATCTTTTGGCATCTTTTTCTCTCTTTTTTTTTTTTCGCAAACAGAAGCCCGATAAGGAGCTATAAGGAAGCTCTGCTCAGTACATATGTTATCAGCCACAGCACCAGCCACAGAACGGTGATTGTTCTTGTTGCACCAGGCTTAACGTCGTCTGTAATTTAACCTTCTGCTGACATGCCGTTCTGACATCATCGTTCGTGGAATCATAGCCTTTTAATGTCAAGAAATAGCAACAATTAACAGTCAATGGCGCTCAAATTCGGCCGAAGGGCTGACAAATGACCGGTAACTGCGGACGTTTTGCGCATTCCGTCGTTAGCTCGGGATCTATTTGAGATTCTTCCATCAAAAGCCACCTTCTCGATCCGATTATTCAGCATCCCTCCCACCCAGCCTCACCACCAACCAACCATCGCTCACTACCAGCACGCTAACGTACGAGATTCCAAAATGCAGCTTCAATCGCGCACCTCCTCTAGCCTCCTTCTTCGTGTTATAAGCACGCCTGTCCGCTTCGCAGTCCGTTCTGTTGAAGCATTCCTTCTTCCCTTTCCATGCAATCTTTCGCCCGCCTCGCCCGAACTGCCTCACACACCTCGGCTGCTCAACTGCGAATCGCCTCGCTTTCTCGACACTTCTCGACAACTTCACCCGCCATGGCGCCCACAGTGAAAGAGACTGACTACCTCGTCCTCGGCGGCGGGAGCGGTGGCCTGGGCTCGGCCCGCATGGCCAGCTCCAAGTTCGGCGTCAAGGCCATGGTAATTGAGAACAAGCGCCTGGGTGGCACCTGTGTTAACGTTGGGTATGTTTACTAAGCCCCGACGATGCTCTTGAATTTCCATGACGTAGCAAAAAACACTAACAGCAGCGGGTTCTTGCAGATGCGTCCCCAAAAAGGTCACGTTCAACGCCGCCGCCATCGCCGAGACCATCCACGATGCCAAGGCTTACGGCTTCTCCGTCCAGCAGTCTGCGCCCTTTGACTGGCCGACCTTCAAGAACAAGCGCGACGCGTACATCAAGCGCCTGAACGGCATCTATGAGCGCAACCTCGGCAACGACAAGGTCGAGTACCTCCACGGCAGCGGTCGCCTCGTCTCCAAGAACCAGGTCGAGGTCACGCTCGACGATGGCTCCAAGGTCCTCGTCAACGCCAAGAAGATCCTCGTTGCCGTCGGCGGCCGCCCCAGCGCGCCACCGTCAATCCCCGGCGCCGAGCTCGGCATCAACTCGGACGGCTTCTTCGACATTGCCACGCAGCCCAAGAAGGTGGCCATTGTCGGCGCCGGCTACATTGCCGTCGAGTTTGCCGGCATGTTTAACACCCTGGGCACGGAGACGCATCTCTTCATCCGCCACAACACGTTCCTCCGCAACTTTGACCCGATGATCCAGGAGTCCGTCACTAAGGAGTACGAGCGTCTCGGCGTCAACCTGCACAAGCAGAGCCAGGCGACGAAGGTCGAAAAGGACGCCAACGGCAAGCTGTCGGTCACGTACAAGGACGCCTCTGGCAGCGAGACCACCCTGAACGACGTCGACCACCTGATATGGGCCATCGGCCGCACGCCCGAGACGCGCGGCATCGGGCTGGAGGAGGCCGGCGTCAAGATCAACGACAAAGGCTACGTGGTGGTGGACGAGTACCAGAACAGCAGCGTTGAAAACATCTACTCCCTCGGCGACGCCACCGGCAAGGTCGAGCTCACGCCCGTCGCCATCGCCGCGGGTCGCCGTCTCGCACACCGTCTCTTCGGCGGTGAGCAGTTCTCGACCACCAAGCTTGACTACAACAACGTGCCATCGGTCGTTTTCGCGCACCCCGAGGTCGGCAGCATCGGACTCACGGAGCCGCAGGCGGTGGAAAAGTACGGCAAGGACAACATCAAGGTGTACAAGACGAGCTTCACGGCCATGTACTACGCCATGATGGAGCAGGAGGACAAGGGCCCGACCAGCTACAAGCTCATCACCACCGGGCCGGAGGAGAAGGTTGTCGGGCTGCACATCATGGGCCTCGGCAGCGGCGAGATGCTGCAGGGTTTTGGAGTGGCCATCAAGATGGGTGCGACCAAGGCAGACTTTGACAGCTGCGTCGCGATTCACCCGACGAGCGCTGAGGAGCTGGTTACTCTGAAGTAAATACTGGTTACTCTGAAGTAAATAGACGCAGATTAAAAGATAGACGAAGGAGACGAACGACGAAAGAAGTGTGTATAGCTATGCCAATATATAGTCAACTTTGTCTCTGTGTTTCTTCAAAATACTGTACTCGATACATTTGGCCATCCACCCCCCATAACCTACTCCAGCTTGCTCACGCCAACCCTCATCTATGCAGCGTACGGATCCACGTTGGGCACCTCGACGTCTACCTGCTTGAACTCCGGCACCACCGCCCTGCAGTGCTCCCAGTCGGCCACCATGCGGAAGTGGCGCATCGTGGCCGGATGGGTCGCGCGCCACTCCGCGCCGAGGATCCACTCCAGCCCGCGCGACACGTACACGGCCACGAAGATGTCCGCGAGGGTGAAGCCGTCGCCGACCAGGAACGTCTTGTCCTTGACGGCCGCCTCGTGCTTATCGAGGAAGGCGAGCGTGGCGGCCTTGCCGGCCTCGACGGCCGCGTGGTCGTACGGCGCAGGCCGGGCGAGGCCGGGGATGAGCGGCAGGAACCTAGACATAGGGGGGATCGGTTACCACTTGCTCATGATGATGAGCATCTCCTGGTTGGCCCAGTTGACCCAGGACAGGACCTCGGCCTCCTGCTCGAGCGAGCCGTCGCCGAGGAGGCGGCCGGGCTTGACCTTGGCCAGGTACTGCGCGACGAGTTAGCATGGGAAAGGCTGCGGTGCTTCGGTCTGCGGTGCTTACGTGGGCGATGGCGGGCACCTCGGTCAGCTTGAGGTTGTCGCCCTCGAGGGCCGGGATCTTGCCGAGGCTGCGCGGGAACTTTTCGATGAGGGCATCGCGGTTGCGGTTCTGGCGCGGGACGACCTCGGAGAGGTTGACCTTGATGCCTTGTGAGTGCGCCTGTGCGGATGGGATGGTCAGCAAGGTTGGGTCTGGACGGAAGGAGAGTTGACTACTTGCAATGATTCGAATGATGCGCGTCCTGGGGTTACCCTGGGGGAGGATGGAGGGGTCAGCAACGATTACATCCAGCTCTCGAGTTGTTGGTGGAGGATGCCTACCTCGTAGCCATATACTGTGTATTCCATGATGAATGAATTGAATGTTTTTTGTCCTTTTTCTTGTCTCCTTCTTCTTCTTGATTTTAGGGTTCGAATAATACGACTCGGCTTACTTATTGCTGGAGCCTCGACACCGAACGCATTGATATAGATGACTGCCCCCCGTCCAGTCCCGGCAACTCCAAAACCACGAGCGTGTGGACATCACGTAATTACCCTCGCATCCTTGGACAGACCCAGCGTCTCATCCGGAACCCGATCAAGAAAAGCTACGAGTCCCCTCCCCCCTCCCCTTCCGACGTGCATGCAGATTGCTGACTCGGGATCCCTTGATGCGGGACCTATCAAGGTTCCGCATGGAAGCCGGGCTCCGGGAGGGTGAAGGGAGTGGGGGGTGGGTGCCACTCGTTTAAACTTGGCAGTGAGGCTGATCCCGACATTGCCGCGGATGGGTCTTTGAATGAGTAATTGTTGGCCGAAACGAGGCTCCCAGACGGGGAAGATGAAGCGAACGAGATCTCTGACCCTCCCTCGCGGCTTTCGGGGGGGGGAGCCCCCAACTTCGGCAAATTTTATTATTCAGTCTCCTCGTTGAGCTCGGAAACCTTGCCGCCGTCTTACTGTCCCCGGTGGACATTTTTGCTTATATCCTGTTTACATCTTTAATAAGTTGTAACCTTAGTCTAAGCAACTTCTCCCCTCCTCCCCTTGTCCAGCAACAAGACTATTTTTCTTTACGCTTTCATTTAAAGTTATCCCATTATCATCATTATTGCTGAAATTCCCCTTGCATGATGCCTGCATATTCTACAGTGCCGAAGCCCCCTTCGCTCGGCCACCGCGTGCCGGACCGGCCGCACGCCGTGTCGGTGCACCTCCCCCGGTGGCGCGACGTCGTCGACTTCTCCGCCGGCGACTCGCGCGTCCGCAGCGTGCAAAAGGGCGGCTACCCGCGCTCCTTCCTGCACGAAGCCATCGTCACCGCGCACCGCGTCCTCGCGGAGAAGTTTGGTAGCGACGGCCAGTCTTGCCTGCTGTTCCCGACGCGCGCCTACGCCCTCGCCTGTGAGCGGTACCTCTGCGCGCCGCCGGACGGGTCCGCCGGCGTGGCCGCGCAGGAGGTCTCGGTCCGGCCGTTCAGCTTCGCCGTGGAGCAGCATGCGGATAGGATGACGCTGCACGCCGCGTTCTTCCCGAAAGACAAGGCGAAGAACGCGATGATCTTTTGGCGGCTCACCGGCTGCGGCATCTCGTCCCGCCTGGCGCAGGACATGCTGCCCGGGCTGGAGTCGGTCTCAGTGGCCGACAGCGCGGCGGACACGCGCCTGCCACGGGATGAGGCGTCGGAGAAGACCATCCGGGAGCGGCTAGCCGGACTGTTGGACCGGGCGCCGGTGGACGGGCCGCGGGAGCAGCTGGTGCGGCCGGAGGACGTCTTCCTGTACCCGACGGGCATGTCGGCCATCTACAACTGCACCCTGGCGCTGGGCGGCGGGCTGCCCGGCGCGCAGATGGTCGTCTTCGGCTTCCCCTACGAGCTGACGCTCAAGGTGCAGGAGGACTTTGCCAAGGCGTGCACATTTTACGGCTTCGGCACGGACGAGGAGCTGGACCAGTTCGAGCACCTTCTCGCCTCCAAGGCGGCCGCCGCACCCCCGGGGGAGCCGCCGATTCAGGCGGTGTGGTGCGAGTGCGCGTCGAACCCGCTGCTGCGGACGGTAGACCTGGACCGGGTGCGCCGGTTGGCGGACCGGTACGGTTTCGTGGTGGTGGTGGACGACACCATCGGCAGCGCGGCCAACGTCGACGTGCTGGGCGTCGCCGACATCGTCGCCACCTCGCTCACCAAGACCTTTAGCGGCTACGCCGACGTCATGGGCGGCAGCCTTGTCGTCAACCCTTGTTCCGCGCACCACTCCCGCCTCCGGGCCCTCCTCCTCGACGGCACCAGCCACGGGACGCTGTACCGCACCGACGCGGCGCAGCTCGAGCGCAACAGCCGGGACTACCTCTCCCGCACCGCCATCCTCAACCAAAACGCGTCCTACCTCGTCTCCCTCCTCTCCCCTCTCACCGCCTCCCACCACCCTCGCAGCCCTCTCTCCCACGTCTACCACCCCAGCACCTGCTGGTCCGCCGCCAACTACGCCGCCCGCATGCGCGCCCCCACCGCCGACTTCGCCCCCGGCTTCGGGTACCTGCTGACGCTCGAGTTCTGCAGCGTGGAAGCGGCGGGGGCCTTCTTCGACGCGCTGCGCGTGTGCAAGGGGCCCTCGATCGGCGCGCAGGTGACGCTGGCACTGCCGTACGTGCAGGTGGTGTTTGCGCAGGAGAAGGCGTGGGCGGCGCGGTACGGGCTGAGCGAGGCGATCGTGCGCATCTCGGTCGGGCTGGAGGACAAGACGGCGCTGGCGATGGCGTGCCTGGAGGCGATGCGCGCGGCGGACGCGACGGTCAACGGGGAGGACGGGGGGGAGGAGCGGGACGCGGCGGACGCGGCGGGCGTCGAGATCGGAAGGGAGGCGGTCATTTCCGGGCTCGATTCGGCATCTCTGCCGCCCCTCGTGCCGCAGATCTAAGTTGGGTTGAGCAAGCATGTAAGCAAATTCTGCTGCCGGTAGTTGGGGTTAGTTTCATCCTGCTTGGAGGATACACCAAGTTTGGCTATTTTTAGTTAAATTAAATTAGTTGTTAAAGTTCAATGCATGGTTAAAGATGATCTGGATTGTTTTCCGACAACGGTCCGTAGATGCACAGGTTTCGCATACCTAACGGTTGCGATCCATGATATAGTGGATGCAATTAATAACGTTGCTTACTTTGCATGATGGTTGCTATATCTGCCTGCTGTTATATCCCGAGGCTGGAACGGGAGGGGCCGCATCCAATGGATGAGTCTTTTCTGCTGCATGAAGCTGCAGCGTGATATTTGCTGCTTCTCCTGTCATGTAAGGAATGCAACATGCAGCAGCAGCAGCAGCAGCAATAGCAGCAGAAGCAGCAGCAGCGAATGCCGACAAGACATGCGGTCCGTTCGCACCAAAACCTGGGCGCATAAGCTTGGCTGCTGCGCGTCGCATCATCAACAGAACCAAGCCACCAAGCCACACGGGGAAAAAAGAGCCACCAGGGAATAACAGAGTCGAACCGGCTAAACGGCATGTCGAATCTGCCAGGCAACCCTTGTCGCCAAGGCTGACTCCGGACAGGGCAGGGTGGGAATGGGTGGGAATGGGAATGGGCACCATTTCAAGTTTTAGCTCGACGATCTAGACTCGAGATTCTTCTCAATCGAACAACCCGTACCAACCCGAGAGGGAATTTCGTCATGAAAAATCTTGGTCCAAAACGGCACCACTGTGCCAAGTTCTCGAGTTTGGTCTAAATTAAAGGCTGCAAGAGATGCGCGATGACCGCTGCTGCATGATACCCGGATGGGGCGACTCGTGTATACAACGTGTGCGTGTGTATGTGCAGGTTGCATGCATGAGAGACAGAGACAGACGAGCAGGCCTCGGCTTCGCGATACATCACTGATTCCGTCCAGTAGGCTCTGGTTTATGGGAAATGAACGAAAATCAACATGGGGATGTGGTCGTGACTCTGACGAATCGGGTCTCATCACGGTCTTGACGACGAGAGGCAAAACCCAGGTTTCCGATTTGGGCCATTTGGCTCTATCACGCAAATGCGACGCCTCGGAGAAAATTCGTTCAATTACTAAGAGTCAGCAAAATGGTCAATTGTCGTGGATTCGTTCTCGACTGGGGAAAGAGTAGAAATGTGCCATAAGCCCTGTCCGCGGTACCGCTGCTTGACATCTCTTGGCCGTCTGTATCAGTCATCATTATCCGTCATTAGCATCAGCGGCAGTATCCGTCATCAGTATCACTTATCAGTATTAGCCTCAACATCAATCACCAGTATCCCAGCAGCAGTAGCCATCCTCCCACAGGTTGACAACATGGGACCTTCCAACAATCACAACCACCCGGGCCTTGACTGGGTCGTCCAGAAGTTTGGCGGCACCAGCATAGGAAAGTACGCCTTTCAGGTACGCCGAGCCCCCCCTTCCCCCTCTTGAGGAGGCTGCCAGCACCTACATGTCCCTTCGCTGTACTGACGGTATGTCGGGAGTTTCTTTGCAGATTGCCAAAGACATTATTAGGTACGTACGTGGCTGGGCTGCACTGCAGCACCGATCCTGCACGTTTGCGTTCAAGCTTGACGCAAATACAAAAGAAAAGCATAAAAAAAAGGTATGAAAGGCTAATCGAGTGGCAAAACGCAGGGACTCGCTGCGTCGCAATCGGGTAGCCGTGGTGTGCTCGGCCCGGAGCACCACCTCTAAAGCGGCCGGCACCACAACACGGTAAGTACGGGATTTTCATGTCACAAAACTTATACTCGTCTTTTTATTAACGAGGCTTGCATTGCAGATTGATTGAAATTTTCAACGTTTTTGATGCGGCTAGAGTTGGGAACGGGCGGCAGCAGGCTGATGCCGTGGGCGCGCTACAGAGCAGCCTCCAGATTATTGTCGAGGAGCACCTCGTTGGGGCGGCACCTTCACTTGTGAACAAAGCCTCTCGGGATATCCTTGCCGCCAGACTATCTTTAGAAGCTCAAAATACAGTCTCGGCAGTCACCGAGGCGTTGAAAGCCCCGAAATATGACCACGGCTGGGTCCAGGACCTGCTGGTCAGTCTCGGGGAGAAGCTCAGCTGCCTTACCATGGTGGCTATTCTACAAGACCTAGTAAGACCTCGGTCCGTCCTTTCTTCAAGGATTCACCGCTTCTCTAACACATTATCTGCTTGCCAACAGGGCGTCGAGGCCGAATACGTAGATCTATCCTCCATCCTCCCGCCATCCTCCCCCTCCACGCCCGTTCACGACGACGCCAACTGCTACACCTCACTATCCGCCGCCATCGGCGCGCGCCTCTCTTCCTGCGGCCCGCGCGTCCCCGTCGCCACCGGCTTCTTCGGGCCCTCCAGCGGCGGGATGCTCGCGTCCACCGTCGGCCGCGGGTATACAGACCTATGCGCCGCGCTGGCCGCCGTCGGTCTCGCCGCCGTCGAGCTGCAGGTTTGGAAGGAAGTCGACGGGATCCTGACCGCCGACCCGTCGCGTGTGCCGGGTGCGCGCCTGGTGCCGCGTGGTGCACGCCCTGGCCGTCCGGCGGGTCGCGGAGGCACCTACGGCGATGGCGCTGCGCGTGTGCAACGTGAAGCGGCCGGCGGCGCCGGGCACGGTGGTCCTGCGGGAGGCCGGCGGAAGCAAGGCGGAGGCCAACGACTCGGACACGGACGGCGCGTCTCTCAAGTGCGGCGGCGGCGCGGAGTGCCGGGCGATCACGGCTAGGGACGATGCTTGCATGCTGCACGTCCAGCGGGAGCCGGTCTCGTGCTTCCCCTTAAGGAGGAGGGCAGCGGCGACGACGGTGGAATTTGTCACTCCGGGCGGCGCTGACATCGACGACAAGCCGCGACGGCCGACCTGGCGGTCGTGCGCGAAACGCCTACTACTACTTCCGGGACGACGGGGACCCGTCTCTTCGCAGAGCGCCAGCATCGTCACTCTCGTCTGTAGCCGCGCGGACGGCAACGGTCGGCTGGCAGGCCACGCGCGTGCTATTTTGAGAGCCGCGGGCATACATTCTACGCTGTTACCATTGGGTGAGTGCAAAGCTACAAATTTTAGCAAACAAAGGAATTCATTTGCTAATACTCGAGGTAGAGGATGACGACTTTGGCTGCATCTCATTCGTGGTACCGTCGCTGGAGACGGTTCGCGCAATGAACCTCTTACACGACCGACTTTGCTTGTCATTCGACGAATAGATTTATTCTGCATTATTTTTCAAAAAGCTATCCTCCAAGAGGAAATAAGGGCGCTAGGTTAGAACACTCATGGTCAAATTGTATACAGAAAAAGGTAGACAAAGACAAAGCACAGCTTCCACGTGCAGTGGCTTTTGCGTCCCGATTAGAGTTTTTCAGTCATTCCTGCGTACAGACGTTTGCTCCACTCGACGAAATCCTGGTGCAGAATTATCCGAGCCTCCAGATAACTATATTCACCTTGTAATAATCAACTCCTCGGACGGCATCGCGGAAAATGGGGTTAGGGGATAAGACGTCTCATACGAGTCATGCCACACGCATCACGCATCACGATTCACAGCCCCCCAAGGGTCGTTCCCATCGTCCATCCATGGCCCGATCTTAGTAATATCGCATAAACTATCGCATCTTCCAAAATGGATCGTAGCCGAATGGAACGTGACAAGCCCAATCTCTCCGCCCGGCAATGGAGAACCCTGATGGGGGCCGGGGGCCGTGATGCAGATGCAGACAGCCAAGGTCTCAGCCGCATCCGCCCGGCTTTCGGCAAAATACGCCGATACATACATCCATGCTCTCTGCATGGGTCTGCTTGCCTTTCTTTCTCCTTCTGGGATTTTGCCGATCTGCATGTAAGAAAATACGTGGCCGTGTCAAGGAAGCAACGGAATCAATCTTGGCCAAGTTGTCAGTCAATGCCTTCCCGGCAGGCTCCCGGCTGGAATGCCCAAACATGGACATGTCCTATTTTAGATGCTCGTTCAAGGTGTCTCGTCACCATCCCGCAACATTCCGCGTCCTGCAGGTCTCTCTTCATGTCCATGATGCAGTAATTATCGTAAGGCTGCTACCTGGCTGCGACAATTGTCCATTTCTCTTTACACCCTCAAAGCAGTAGTAATCGTTAGGCTGCTTCGTTATTGCGGCAATTCTCGATTCTTCTTCTCAACACCCGCTTCCACCTTATCCGCCTATACTTCCCTTCTCTACGTCACCGCACCTCATCTTTTTCCCTCCTCCTCCCGTCCCCGTCTCCCACTCACCACCCATCAAACCCCCAATGGACAAGCAAGACCCCATCATCGTCGTTGGTGCCGGCATCTTTGGCCTCAGCACCGCGCTGCACCTGGCCGAGGCCGGCTACGCCGACGTCACCGTCTTCGACCGCCACGCCGTCGACAAGACGCGCTACTCTTACTTTGACGGCTGCGACGGAGCATCCGCCGGTACGTCTGATCCCCCTCCCTCCCTGCGCTCGCAGTTTTTCGCTAACCTTCCATCCTCCCGTGCAGACGCCTCCAAGATCATCCGCTCGGCCTACGGCGGCCAGAAGGAGTACACCGATCTCAGCGCCGAGGCCATCGTCCTCTGGAACGCGTGGAACGAGGAGATCAAGACTGTCGACGAGGATAACGACCTCGGCCTCTCCCGGGACGACGTCATCTGGAATAACAACGGCGTGCTCATGTGCACCGACCAGCCCGTCCTGAGCGACTTTGACCGCGCCTCCGCACGCAACGCCAACCCCCCAGGCGGGGAGAAGCTCGCGCTCGTCACCAACGACCCGGAGGACCGCGCCGTGGCCGAGGCCAAGGGCCTCGCCCACGCTCTCAGCCCGTTCGCCAAACCCACCGTCGGCGTGCTGGACACCACCGGCGGCGTCGTCGTCGCCGACAAGGCGTGCTGCTTCGCCCTGTACAAGGCACGCAAGGCCGGCGCCAAGTTCATCCTCGGCGGCGGCGCCGGCACTTTTTCCTCGCTGCTCAAAAACGGCGAGGCCGTGGCGGGCATCAAGACGGCGGACGGCAAGGAGCACCCGGCCAAGACGGTGGTGATGGCGTGCGGCGGGTGGACGCCGTCGCTGGTGCCCGCGCTCGACGGCCTGTGCGAGACCACCGCCGGCTCGGTCCTGCTGTACCAGCTGCCCGAGGGCTCGCCGCTGCGGCGCACGCTCGGGTACGCCGAGTTCCCCGCGTTCATGTTCCGCCAGCGCGAGGGCGTGGACGGCGGGCTGTACGGCTTCCCCGCGGACCGTCGGGGGGTGGTCAAGATCGGGTACCGCGGGATCAAGTACACCAACCCCGTCGCGCAGGCCGACGGGCTCGACCGCAGCGTGCCGCGGACGCGCTGGACCACCGACGACGCGGCGGCCGGCCGCGGCGAGGACACGACGGGCGCCATCACGGACATCCCCGCCAAGGCGCACCAGGTCATCTCCGACTTTGTGGGCGAGTTCCTGCCGGCGCTGGTGGAGGGGGGCCGGGTGCCGGTGAAGATGAGCAGGCTGTGCTGGTACACGGACTCGTTCGACAACCACTACGTGGTGGACCGGGTGCCGGGGGTGAAGGGGCTGGCCTGCGCGACGGCGGGCAGCGGGCACGCGTTCAAGTACCTGCCCAACGTCGGCGCGTGGGTGGTGAGCATCCTGGAGGGCCGGGGGCTGGACCGCCCGCTGGCGAGGGCGTGGCGCTGGCGGGCGCTGGAGGAGGGCCGGGAGCCGGTCAACAAGCTGATGCTGGGCCGGGAGGACGGGAGGACGCTGGCGAACACGGAGCTGGTGACGGCCGAGGAGGAGGATGGAGGGCTGGCGAGGGCGTTGGCGAGCCAGAGTTTGAGTTAGAGGCATGGTGATGTGTTCGGAGGCAGTTGAACGCGTTTATCAGCAGCTATCAATGTTCAATATAAATTTAAAGAATTCAACTACGATCCGCTTTCACGTTTCGCTGATCAAGTCCAAAGGCTACTGTTAGATGCTTCTTCAAAGGATCACACCACAGCAAAGTTCTATACATTTTCCAGACCACCACCCAAAACTACTTGTACATAGTAGTAGCACGCAAACGACTTGAGCTGCTGCGCGCCGCCGACGCACTGCCCGTTGTAGAAGAGCTTCGTCGACGCGCCCGTGTAGTCCTTGTTGTAGAAGAAGTTGCACTGGAAGCTCCCCTGGTAGCAGTTGGCCATCTTGATGGCGTTGCCGTACTGGTAATTGTGGCAGTTGTCCTTGCCACCCCACAGCGGTGTGGCCCAGGTCACCTTGACCTCACCGATGTTCCGAGGCGGGAAATGCAGACTGGCCGTTGCCGTTGAAGTCTGGGCATTCGTTGTTACTCACAGAGCAAGAGCAGCCATGAGAGTACAAAAGGCATCTCATAAATGGGGTCCGGCGACCAGTCGAAAATTCAACATTCATAAAAAAAGATCACGGTAAGTGGAATGTCAAAAGGGAAGCGAACGTAAATTAGCAATACGGCTTAGGAAACAGGGACAGCGTTACCGCTCGCCAACTTTGGTGGCCAGTAGATTGCATGGCTTTGTACTGACGTAAATAGTTCTTACGCATAGTTTTATTGTTTCTAATACTAACTCCTCGGGTATAGAATTCTATCACTGTGAAGTGATAGAGCCCGCTGTAAGATAGATCATCCAGTAATCGTTTTTGAAGAGGAGGAAGACTTTCACCGTAACCACCACCTAAGCCTCGACCAAGGTACATGTCATGTGCTGCTGCACACAATACACCTGATGCAGGTGGCAGTGAGCATCTACGACTCTACCTATGTGTACGGCCAGAGCCAAGGTGGTGATAGATTATCTGTACTCTGCATCGCAGCTCCAGTCTGCCTTGGGCATCTCGACCCATGACATCAAGCCTCTGCCCAGCCATACACACTGCAGGCAATGATCAAAGTGGCGCCATTATTGATAAGCAGTATTCCGGAAAAGGTCTCACAGTGAAACACAGTTTCTCGCCGCCTTGCATAACTTGCTCGCTCGGCTACTCGTCTTTGCCTTGTCCTCTCTTTCCCCCGTCCCGTCCCGTCCGTCAACCTAAAAGGCAACCAAGTTTCTTCCTTCCCCAGACCATTAGGCACGGTACGCGTATCTGCAGCACTCTGTTTCCGCATTGCTCCTAATATCGGCTTGCATGCCGCTCGCCCGCCTGGTTTGCTTTTTTTGCCAATCATATAGCGCAAAGTGTTGCGACATGAGTGAGCCGGATGCCGCCCCATGGGGCATAGAAGTGGATGGATGACATGCAGGAGCCGTGCCCGTTTGATGTAACGGTGCATATGCGCTCCGGAAAGATGGGGTGAGAAACATTGTTTGGCTCTGGAATCTCGTCTTGTTGGCATAAATTTGACCGCGTGAAATTAACACGCGATGCTGCCCGACTTGATTGGGTCGGGGACGGGAAGGGGGCCGATCCCGAACGGGACACATTAACGAGGGCGACACGTGTCGCCAAAACGCGGCTCTGCGCCCTGACAGATTTTTTTCCCTTTCTTTTTTCCACTAGTTGAAATCATGCCATGTATCCAACGGGGTGCAAAAGCGTCCTCCATTCACCCTGGGAGGGTGGTCACGGCGTGGGTGGCTTGGTGGCGTGTAATTAGACAGTATGCACGTAGAATTACTGTTGTACCGCCTAACTCGTGTTGCCTCCCTTAGTATCAGAAGAATATTGCTTCGCACCAGTAGCTTAGTAAGTAGTGGGAGGGGTCAATCAACAGTCGTCGTTGTCGAAAACGCCGTTGGAACGCCTCAACCCTGCAACCAGCCCAGAACAGAATGCAAGACGTACTGCGACCAGATGACGAGGCATCTCAGCGCATGTGTGCGACTGCCTATCAAACATGGCTCGAACTTCGCGACCGTGCTATTGCCTCTCCGCTAGACTTCTCCTGCTTAGACATGGCAACCGCGTTCCTAAGTCATCCACGCCTGATTCCACAGCTGGAGTTGGCCAGAAGCTCAACATGCGTTCTCTACGCAACTAGGCTAACAGTCTGGGAAACAACAGGTAGTAAGAAATGTGGCTTGCTGTATTTTACTATGAAGACTGTGCTACAAGTAACAGCCCCCTGTGCAACTCCTGTTATCCTCGAGGGTAGCTGCTCAACGACACCCTGGACCGAATTCGGTGAGCATAGCGACCATGTACCAATTCTCACTCTGGCTTGGGCGTATGTCCTCTCTGCGCGCTGGGCAGAAATAATCCCTGGAGCAAATATGGAATATGCAAACAGCCGTGCACCATTATTAGTACCCGTTAGTGAGGCAACATGCTGCGATAACACTCCTATATCCGTACAACTGGGCGACGTGACTGACAACGCGCTGCGCTGGTGGGAGGCTGTTCTTGCGCCAGGCGAAGGCTGGGGGGCGCCTTCATCCGTCACAATAACCGAGATCTCAGGTCGCTATGGTCGGTGAGCCTCCAAACACTCGGTTTTATAATCCTTCTTAATAGCAAACCCCCCACCCTTCGCAATCATGCTGCAGCATCCTACACCACGGCGAGTGCCTACATCCTTGCGTATGTAGCATTCCATGGCATTTATGAACAGAGTTGCGCCGCATTCGCCGCCGCCCTGCTTTTGCCAACACGACGTCTAATATCCAAGTCTGTCCACTGGGCGCGTCCATACTTCTCTGGCAAGCGTCGCGTAGAGCACACTAAGAACGACGGAGAGCCACCCTGGGGGGAGAAACAAGCAGTAGCTCGACAAGCTACTTACTATGAGCTGCAATGCCACAGGCATACAGTCCATTTTAACTAGCAGTTTCATCGAGCCAGACATACTATATAACATCTGCGGTGCGTGGCTATAAGGGACATTTGCGGTCCTTGATGGCCCGTCCTCCCAGTAGCCCGTAGTCCTCGCACACATGCTGATGCGAAGATCACCACACCTTGACTTTCTTTGGCTGGGAGCCATACCCATGAGCGTGCAGCACCACATCATGAAGTGGGCACGAACGGCTCTATGTCTCGTCGACCTACAAGCCGCTGCTTGGACCGACACATTCCTCTCATTCATCCAGAGACCAGTTTCCGTCGAGCCCTTATTAACAGGCAGCATAACCCGGGCTGATGAGGCGCGACTGATGTTCCTGGCGCAGGACAGGCACCATAGCTTACCGCTCCTGGTACAATTTACGCCGTTCGGTTTTTTACTTCGGTCAGCGACTGCACCCTAGATGTGCAGTTGCATGCCCGTTGCGCTGGTGACCATGGTTTACGGTACGCAAGCATATCATGGAACTGCACCAACAACAATACGACCTTTGAGAACGGGACCGCGGATTTGCGGGGGGGTACCGAGCCACTGATTAAGATGCCAGACCAAGGGGCACCGGTTCCGTACGCCAAATTTGATCGCGATCGAGATTGCTCAGAGTTAACGACGCGAAACATGTTCAAGTGGCTACGGGGCGTGGACGGCTATCCAGTTGCTGAGCGAGCCATCCGTGAGCATGAGTGGATTGCCGATGACACAAGCTCGGATGAAGACAGTGATGTACGAGAAGAGGCGGTGGCTCAACTGTTGGTAAGAACGTTGGAAGGTGGCTATCAAGGGGAGTTACAACACGAAGCTACACGTTGTAGATACTGAATTGTCAGCCGAGGGATTCAAGTGACGAGTCGCGAGGTAAGGCATGCCACGTCGATTGGGTGCGCAGATCCCGTGAGGAGACCGGATTCTTTTCAGGGGGCAGGAGTCGAGACAGCAAAAGCCTGGGCTTGGAAAATGATAACCTCCGAGAGCGATATGATGCTATGATTTGCTGTTGGCACTGGACCGCGATGCCTGGCTCGCTGCACTTGTCTGGGACGTTGATTAGGAATACGCTTCTATGCCGACAGCTTCAGACGCGGTTTCATCGACTGTCTTGGGTCGGGTAGAAGATACTATTTCTGATCACACAACCCCCGGGACCGATATATCGGTAGCCCTATTCCTTTGATGACGCCGAAGCTGCCTCCGTCGCACATGCCAAGACACTTCAGTCTGGCCCGCCGGGCTCCTTCCAGGGAAGCCGATCAAATGATATAATCGCTTGATTACAGGTCAAAAAATCCCAAGATCGTAGCTGCGCCCGACTCGTGTGCGGAAATAAAAGTCCTGTGATCTGTTTTGCGATTTGGGGAACAAGGTGATGGTGTGAGGTGGGAACGGATGGCCTCATCTCGTCCACGCCAGCGCAGATATTACAGTAAAAAGACAGGAACTGTAGTACTTGACAAAATAGTTTGAATCGACAACACTCCTCACCCGCAGTGAAAGACTCGGAATCATTGCTGCAAATGGCGTGCTGATATGGCCCGTTTGACTGTTGTCAGGCTGCCCACCTACAGCTACCCATCGCATTTGGTGACGAAAATGAGAGATGAGCAGTGAGTCCCAGTTTCATCGCGATGCGAGTGATCAACGTTGCCTACGACTCATGTGCTCGTCGAGCGCAGTCTGGGTGGTTATTCCTTTTGGTCCGCTCGCTGTTCCATCGACGGTGCATCAGCGCCGTTTAACGCGGCTTGCACAAATCCGCGTCGATATTCAATGCCGACAATGTGCCAGACCCCTGCCATGACGAGCACTGCCGTGCGTTCGTCCTGTCAGAAAAAAAGTTGTGGGCGAGGCTGAGAGTTGTCTGGGTTCTATTTTCGAAACATTGCTCACAAGGATGACGATGACGAACTAGGCACCCGAAAATATCAGGAGATTTGTAAAGCCCAAAACAGTAAAAAATAAAAAATAAAAAAAACAGTCGCAATATTAAAAGCCCACGAAGGGGGGGGGGGATGGCAGCGCGTCATTCAGCCCCTGTAAACTGACGACTTCACGACGCCGCGTCCCATCCCATGTGGTGTCTTTGACTTGCCCTCCTCGCGCCGTTGTGGAGGTGGCGCTGTATATTCTAATCTTCTTTTCTTTTTTTCCCTCTTTCTCAACTACCCAGTCCCTTGTAACAGGGACTTGAACAGGGATGGCAATTAAAAACTGATAGATCAAATCGCAAGCGAGTGGCTTTCACGCTACCCAGCGAGGCGCCTTGCCAGGGTCTCCCCCCTCCCCCCCTGGACGCCTTGTTCATACCCAGTAGATATCATTTTTCTGAATTTTCCTTCTTGCGCCTCGCAGCCTCCCCTGAGTGGCATCCTCTGATTGGCTTATGGACTGGTAAATGAGAAAAAGCCCGCCCCGAGGCTGAACGAGGGGGGGTTGGGTGGCCATTGTCCTGCTTGTGGGTGGTGATTGGCCATCATTTCCAGGTGGAAGAGGCGTGCTTCGGAACGTCCGAGAATGGTTCTAGAAACGGTGATGAAATAGGAAGAAAAAGAAAAA